CTGTCTGACTGGGGCTGTGGAGGGTATAGTTGTATTTATTGTGTTGTAATATTTTTACATCCTGTGACTTCATGCTAGAAATTTTCTATTGTTTATAGAACTTTTTTGTAGAAACATTAACTCTAAAGCACATCTGCATGTCAGTAAAATCTCAATTTCATACAGAAAAGGCCCATCTGCCTTTTTCAAATCAGTGACACACTCCAGGGTTACTCCCCGTGGACATCCCGCTCAGGGGTCGGGAAGGAAGGAACGGCGATGGACACCTGGCCTTGGAGACTGCCGGCGATTCCTGATGCGCGTTCATCAGGCAGCTCTGCCACTCAGTGTCTGCGTGGCTGCTGGGCCTGACCCCAGAGGATGTCTAAGAATCTGCTGCTGTTCCTTGTGAAAATGTCAGCAGCCACATAGCTTCATTTACACTGCTACAGACAACTCTTTTTTTTCCTATCAGAAACTTCCTTGCTAATCCAGGAGATGGCTGGAATAGCACATTCACTCAGCTCCTTGAACTGGAGGTTTCTTAGGGGTTGGCTGTGCCCCCAAAAACCACTTTCCTTAGTACTTCTCAGGAGGCTTCAGAAGGGCTTGGCCCTAACCTGCGGTGACACTGAACCCAATGTTTTTTTTATTTGCCTGGTAGAGGGGAGATCTCCCATCCACTGGTTGACTCCCCAAATGCGCACAACAGCCAGTGCTGAGCCAGGTCAAAGCTAGCAGCTAGGATCTCAATCTAGGTCTCCCATGTGGGCGACAGGGATCCAACTACTTGCTGCCTCCCCAGGGCCTGCATTCTCAGGAAGCTAGAATGGGGAGCAGAGCCAGGGCGTGCCCAGGCACTCCCGTGCGGGATGTGGGTGTTCCAAGCCACATCTTGAAGTGCTGCACCAAATGTCCACCCCCAGAACCCAGCATTATTCACTGCAAAATGTTCAACCTGGGCCGGCGCCGCGGCTCACTAGGCTAATCCTCCGCCTGCAGCGCCAGCACCCCGGGTTCTAGTCCCAGTTGGGGCACCGGATTCTGTCCCGGTTGCTCCTCTTCCAGTCCAGCTCTGTGCTGTGCAGTGGAGGATGGCCCAAGTGCTTGGGCCCTGCACCCCATGGGAGACCAGGAGGAAGCACCTGGCTCCTGGCTTTGGATTGCCACAGTGCCAGCCATGGCGGCCACTTGGAGCGTGAACCAACAGAAGGAAGACCTTTTTGTCTGTCTCTCTCACTGCCTAATTCTGCCTGTCAAAAAAAAAAAAAGTTAAACCTAGTCCAAGATGAGATCCCATAATTTTAGATCAAAATTCAAAAGTCTCTCAAGAACTTATCTGTTTGGACATAAATTTATTTACATCCAGGCCTTACAAAGGCATAAAAGACTCACTTTGTGATATATTTAACAAAATGTATTCATTGAAAATAAAGCTGGAATTGTCCCAGAAAACTCAGGACCCCTGGTCATACTGGGTGCAGCAGTCCTGTGGGGGCAGGTAGGTCAGAACCCAGAGCCTTCAGCTCGGCTCACCAGCAGCCAAGCCCAGCCGTCCCGGGAGCTCCAGTGCAGACTTCAGTCCATCTGAACCGCGTCTAGTTCGTCCAGGAACCGCCGGCACTTCCCCATCAAGACCTTGATGGCTTCACTCACCAGCACATCTGGTGGCAGCACCCCCGTGGACTCAACAGAGACTGGGGACAAAAGAGATGCTTTACCTTAGGCAAGGCTAGTTGAATTCCACATCTGGACTCAAAAAGTAAACTACAGCACCAAAGGGCACAGCCACCCCCTCCCCGCGCCCTGTACATACACTCATACCCTCAGCACCTCATACTCACAGATATAATGATCTCGAACCCGGGCAAGCCGGACAAGCTTCTTCAGTTTCTCATTCCGGAAGATTTCCCTGCTGAAGGTATCTAGCCGGGGATTGGCAACTCTGGCCACCTTTTTACCTAATGAAAACCATGTTATACTTTGTCTCAAAGCCCAGAATGGTTATGCCTATGCTACTTTTACAAAAGTAGACCACACGGCCTGACCTGAGCACCATCCCTGATACCATACCTTGGACTTCCTGGACCTCAATGACACCTGGTGAGAAGCACTGGCTCAGCTCCTCAGCCGCTTCCCCTTCTATGGGTGCAAGCAGGGTAATGTCTGGCAGGAGCCTGTAACTGGCTGTCGCCACTGGTGAGAACTTGGCGTGGTCCTTGCCTGCAGGGAAGGGAGAGATCAGCCTGGGGGAATCCTCTCCCGAGCCACTGAGCGCGAAAGCCCAAGCCCACCGCCTTCTGCCGGTCAGGAGCATCCCTGGATTCCTGCGGCGACTAAGCTACGCCCTGCACCTGAGGCGGCCCACGGGTCTCACCGATGCCCTTGACACAGTGCATGAGCAGGTCAATCTCTTGGCCAGGTCGCAGCTGGGCAATGAGGATATCATCGTGCACCGGCCGGATAGTGCCCTCCGGGAATAGGTCAGCCTGGTTCCCAAGGGGAACCCACGTCATGTGCCTGGTGTACACTGGAGGGAAGACAAGTCAGAGGGCTGCAGCCCCGAGACGCCCCCACAGCCAGCAGCCAGGCTTCCCTCCTTGCCCACTAACCTTTGTGATTCACATAGAGCTCGTTGGGGTCAGAGGAATCTTTAGCAGCGTGGGGGTTCCGAGTGCACCTGACCTGCAGCCGAAACTGCAGAGTGTCTATCTCTGTGCCCTCGTCGTCCCCTGCACAAAGGGAAGAGGCGGCCCTTACAGCAGCAGTGAGCATCAGGGTAGACACTGCCGAGTGCTACCCGTGTGCTGCTCCTCTTGTCCACAGATGATGAGTCACTTGCCCAGGGCCACAAGAGTCAACCCAGGATTCGAACCCAGGCAGCTGGTCCCAGGATCTACTAAGGAAGAAAGCGGTTCCACTTCCCCCAACAGCTTCATCTCCCAGGCCCTCACCTTGGTTCCGATATTCAAACAGTCGTGGATCAGCATGAATGGGAATGAGCCCCAGGCGGTGAGCCAGGATCTCATCCTGCACGATGGATGTGTTGTTGTACACCAGTACCTTCTCCACAGCCATTGTGGGCACCTACCCAGAGACCAGGATTACCCGTCTATAAAAACCCGGCAGACTCCCCACCTCCTGAGATGGACAACTCCTAGAAGAATGCCTCATAAAAACTTAAAGCAAAACACTCCACAAAATCGGGGGGGGGGGGGGGGCAACTTGAGACACTGACAGATGAGGTGATGGCACACTTCCCCACGCTCCAGCCGTCACCGGCCCCGCTGATACCTCCGCCAGCAGAATTCGCCGGAAAGCATTGGCAATGGCCGCATCAATTCCCACCATGTCAAACTCCAGCGAGTTTTCATCCATGTGTACCACATCCACGCGGAAGTTCTAGAGGCAAAGAAAAAACAAGTGGATGGAGCCTGCTCTTGGTGTGACCTGGCTACAGCTCCCCCTTGACACGGAACATCCCCGCTCCCCCAGAAGCCTTCCTCTGCCCAGCAAAGCCTCATTTGATGTTTTCTTCCTCTGTTCTTTTAGTTTCTTGAACAATGCCCCCAGTTTTGTATGCCACTAGTTGAAAATCCTATGCAATATGGCTTGAGCCAGAAGCTATTCTATGAAGAGCAGAAACTTCTATACAGTTTAGTCCAGCTGACAGGACTCAGTTCTTTTCTTACTAATGTTACATTTGGCATTGAATTAAAAAAAAAAAAAAACAAAAACTCCTTTCTCAAACCCCATCTCCTCCGTGTCTGGGCACCAGTCCTCCATCTGAGGAGTTGCGTCTCCTTCCACCCACCACCTAGGTGTTACCGGTCCCCAGCTTCTTGTCTCTCTCCAAAGTGACATCAACCACACTCACGGTTTTAGCAACTACTATGGACAACTCCCCACATTCTGTCCAACGCTCTCCTGGGCTGCTAGCTCCTCCACGCCGCGGGGAACCGAATGGGTCATCGTTCCCACTGCCCAGGCACCGCCATCCGTCAGATGAGTTCCCACAGCCAAAAAGTCCTGACCGCTCTCACCAAAGCACTCCTGGGCTCCTTCCCCCAGCACTGCCTAGCGATCTGCCCGCCCCTTCTCCTCCTTCTCAACCACCAAAGCTGCAAACCGGATCACCTGGTCACGCCTGCTCAAGAACCCTTCAGACGCTCCGATCACCCCCAGTGCCCGCCGTCAGGCCAGTGTAACATTCCATCAATAATGCGCGGTTCGGACATTCTAGGGACACGCCCACCCCGTCTTTACAAGTTAGCTCGCTTACTCCTCCCTCCTCGACCTTCACTCACCGTTCAGGGCTCAAACTCAGATGTCACTTCCTTCAGGGAATCCTATGATTCTGCCCCAGTCTAGACCGTCTCTGAGGGGTGCCCCACCCCCACTCTCAGCCGCCGTCACCGCATCCAACTAGAATGACCTGTACAGGCCTGAACAGCTCGATCGCAGAACAAGGCAGAAGCCCGGTGTGCAAGGAGCGCCCAGGACACGGTCGGATGCTGAGCAAACTTGGTTTTGCCACGTGAGTGACCCCTGGGAGCAGCTCGGAAGCCCGGGCTGCTCCGATCACACTCCGGCCCCACGCACCTTCTCGAAGCGGTCCTGATCCCAGGCATCATCATAACCGGAATAGTTCCCGGGGAAGTCGGTGGTATGAACCTAGAGATACGGGTCCGTCCGTGAAGAGGCAGCGAAGCCAAGCCCGCCCTCACTTTGATCCCGACCCGTCCCTCTCATACTTCCTTCTGAACTCAAGGCCACAAGGCTTACATTCCGAACTCCGAACTCCCCTAAAACCACGCGGCTCCGCATTTCTTCAACGGCCTGAGCCGCCGCCATCTTCGACTTCCCCCACGAGACTAAGGCCTCACGCCTGCGCGTGCGTTCTAGCGGCTTTCCTCCGTCGCCGTGGCAACGCACCGCCTCCCGGAGCCCGACGTATCGCGAGACTTTGCCCCGCCTCCGTCCACGTCCCCAACTTCCGGAAGTCTGTCTGGGCCAAACATCCGGGTTTCTCTTTTTTGCGTTCCGGCTGGTGGCGCCTGTCCTCGGCCCTGGACGTCTCCGTGCCTCAGGCCCACGTCTGCCCCCTCTTCCTCCGCGCGCGGGGCTAGCGCTGGCTTCGGGGACGGGAGCCCTCCAGGGACATGGCAGCCACCGCGGCGCCGGCCGGCGGCGCTCGAAACGGGGCCGGCCCGGAATGGGGCGGGTTCGAAGAAAACATCCAGGTAATGGCCCCAGCGCTTCGGCTGCCGGCCACCCCGACGTGTCTGGGGAAGCCTCCCTCGGGGCCCGAAAGCCTCCTCCATTTGCAACACTCCTCTCCCCTTTGGGTCTTCGTGCACGGGAAAGTCAGTGAAGCTAGTGCCGGCCGGAGGGCCTCGGGTCTCTGGACGCGCCCGAGGCGTTAGGAAGAGAGACAGATGAGGAGGTCAATCGGGGTCAAGCGGGGCAGTGGGCGGGATTCGCTGGCACTCGCCAGAAACATCTTGTGTGCATGGTCTTGCTTGCGCCTTGCAAACCCTCGGGGCCTTTGATGGGGAAGGTGGGGAAAAGGCATGAGCGGAAGACAAGTAGGTGGCTTCTCGGGCTAGAGGAGAGCGCCGGAACCAGCAGCCAGGGGGTTCTGAGAGAAAGTGAGGGGTGACAGTGGCCTGATGTGCGGGGATTCGGAGGCGCGGCGCCAGCAGCGGGGCAGGGACCAGAAAGGCCTGCACTGTAGGAGGCATTGCCTTCACAGGGTGGGGGCTCGGCCGTGATTGACATGGAGAACATGGATGACACCTCGGGCTCCAGCTTCGAGGACATGGGTGAGCTGCACCAGCGCCTGCGCGAGGAAGAAGTGGACGCCGACGCGGCCGCTGCGGAAGAGGAGGATGGGGAGTTCCTGGGCATGAAGGGCTTTAAGGGGCAGCTGAGCCGGCAGGTGGCTGACCAGGTAAGCGGGGCTGAATCCTTGGCAAGTGCAGGATACCTGCGCGATCTGGAGTCGTGTGGGTGACCTTGACCTCAGGCTGCCCCAGTTGGAGCCCAGTAGAACCCCGACAGAAGCTAGGGAGCAGGACCCCAGGGCCAGGAGCCTCACGGGCCATCCCCGCATCTCCGCTCAGATGTGGCAGGCCGGGAAGAGACAAGCTTCCAGAGCCTTCAGTTTGTATGCCAACATCGACATCCTGAGACCCTACTTCGATGTGGAGCCTGCCCAGGTGCGCAGCAGGTGAGGCTCACCTCCTGAGCCCCGGTCCCTCACCCAGCCCTGGGCTCTGCTGTCCTTCCTGACGCCCTCACCCCTCCTCCCCGCACAGGGCACCAATTCGTTTCTACTCCTCTTCCTCCAAAGTTGAGCTCAAGTGTCGCCTCCTTTGCTCTGCGTTTCTGAGCCCCAGCCCGCCTCGTTCACTCGGGGTGCATTTTCAGTTCAGCACTGCTACGCTCTCCTCTTCCACGTCTGTCTCCCCAGGCTCCGTCTCGTTCATCTTTGTTTGTTTGTTTGTTTTACTTTATTTCTTTAAGTTACAGTCTTTATTTCTTTAAGTTACAGTTACCCACTTTATTGGGTAATCATATCCTTCACTGTGGGCTTTTTTTATTAAGATTTATTTATTTATTTGAAAGAGTGACAGGACAGAGAGAGACATCTTCTGTCTGCTGGTTCACTCCCCAAACGGCTGCAGTAGCCAGAGCTGGGCCACTGCCCTTGGCTTTAGCCAAGAGCCAGTGTGACTCCATCTGGGTTTCCCTTGTAGGCACCCCAACAGTAGGGCCGTCTCCCACGGCCTCCCAGGCACTTAGCAGGAAGCTGGGTCAGAAGTGGAGCAGGCAGGACAGGAACTGGCGCTCTGACGTGGGATTGCAAGCAGCACTTAACCTGGTGTGCCAGACACTGGCCCCTTCCTTGTTCATCTTTTTATCCCTGAAACCAGAACATCAGGGCATAGTCAAGTACTAGACTGAATCGTGGCTTGATTCCTTGTTCATCTTTTAGTTGAACCAGTGCTTATTGAATAGAATCACTTGGCAAGAGCTTACTAAACATCCGCTCTGTGTCAGACCCTGCTGATGCCCTCTGCGTCCGTGGTGAGGGTGGTTGCAGCACAGTGTCCTGAGCTTCAGTGGGGCCCACGGGAGGGGGGACACCTGGGCAGCGTCGCTAGTGCTTCAGACAGGGCAGGTTTCCCAGAGGAAGAAAAATCTAGTTAAAATCCAAAGTATTGTTAGCCAGCCACTTAGGACAGTCACAGGGGCTTTTATTCCTTCTGTATGGAATTTTGATACCACTTCAAATATATTTTTCAAAAAGATGCTCATGGGGCCAGCATTGTGGCATAGCAGGTAAAGCCACTGCCTGCAACACCAGCATTCCTTATGGGCGCCAGCTTGAGTCCGGCTGCTCCACTTCTGATCCAGCTCCCTGCTAATGCACTTGGGAAAGCCATGGGAGATGCCCCATGTGCTTGGGCCCCTGCATCCACGTGGGAAACCTGGATGAAGCTCCTGGCTCCTGGCTTCGGTCTGGCCCACCCCCAGCTGTTGTGGCCATTTGGGGAGTGAACCAGAGGATGGAAGATCTCTCTTTGTCTGTCTGTCTCTGTAATTCTGCATTTCAAAATAAAATAAATCTTAAAAAAAAAGCTTTGCAGTGTCGGCTGAGCAGTAAGCAGGAAGAAGCAACAGCAGGAGGCCCATGGGTTCTTCTGTCCCGGGCTGCGTCGTCAGCACTGAACCCCACGCGCTCCCTGCCGTGGTTTGCCTGTCTCTTACGGAGAGCAGGTCGGGCAGACAGATGGTCAGGCCCTCTCCCAAGGTCCGCTGCACTCAGTTCTCATACAGCTGCTACTCTGGCTGCTTAGTCTTAGAGGGCTGTCCTTCGTGGAAGTAGCTTTAGGGGCAAGAGAGTAATTTCCTCATTCCCTGTCTTTGGGCCCCTTTTCTCCCTGTCACCCAGCATGCCCTCTGGGCCAGGCCCCAGCCCCTGGAGTTAGAGGACTAAGGTTCAGGCCATGAGCCTCGTAGCCTAGCGCTGCCTCAGCTGTCCTCTCCTCTCCTCTCCCAGGCTCCTGGAGTCCATGATCCCTATCAAGATGGTCAACTTCCCACAGGTGAGTGGGGTCGGCCTGTTCCTGAGTGTTGGGGGTGGCTCTGGGGCGGGGGCAGGGGGTAGCATACACAGAGGAGCGTAGCCTCCAGCCTGAGTGAGCCGGTGTATTGACAGAAAATCGCAGGTGAGCTCTATGGTCCTCTCATGCTGGTCTTCACGCTGGTTGCCATCCTCCTGCATGGAATGAAGACATCCGACACCATTATCGTAAGCCAGACGGAGGCGGGGGAGGTTGCGGGGGGTGGGGGGTGCAAGTCGCCCGAGGAGATGATGGAGTGAGGCAGGGGTGGTCCCTGTGGAGGAAGTGGGTGAGGCTCAGATCAGAGGCCTCCCAGGACTAAGGAGAGCCTTTGCCCGCAGCGGGAGGGCACCCTGATGGGCACTGCCATTGGCACCTGCTTCGGCTACTGGCTAGGCGTCTCGTCTTTCATTTACTTCCTCGCCTACCTGTGCAACGCCCAGATCACCATGCTGCAGATGCTGGCCCTGCTGGTAAGGAGCCGGGCCGGGTGGTGCACAAGGGTGGTCTTAAAAGCTTGGGCTGCATCTTTCCTGGGGCCCCAGGACCTGGAGTTTGAGGAGTGGACCAGTGACGCGTTCATTCCCGAGTCCCCCGAGGGGCCAGAGGCCAGCCTGGCTGAGTGAGCCTCCCCTCCCCATCCTTCCCAGGGCTATGGCCTCTTCGGGCACTGCATTGTCCTGTTCATCACCTACAACATCCACCTGCACGCCCTCTTCTACCTCTTCTGGCTGCTGGTGGGCGGGCTGTCCACCCTGCGCATGGTGAGCTGGGCCACGGTCTAGGGGCGGGCCGTCCTCCCAGGGAGTTGCGGCTGACAGCCCAGAGCTGTCCACCCCACAGAGGGCTCTGAACGGGAGGGGAGGGCTCAAGGAGCCATCTGCCTTGGGTGGGAGGGTGGTCTCCCCACCCTCACTTTGGAACAAGGCTCTGAGCTGTATTCCTGCGGCCCCAGGTGGCGGTGCTGGTGTCACGAACCGTCGGCCCCACCCAGCGGCTGCTGCTCTGCGGCACCCTGGCCGCCCTGCACATGCTCTTCCTGCTCTATCTGCATTTTGCCTACCACAAGGTGGTGGAAGGTGAGTGGCGGGGAGCCTGCAGTGGGAGAGCGGCAGCGCGGTGGCCCAGGGAGGGCCCAGCCGACCCCCGCTCCCCCTCCATCCTGCTTTCAGGGATCCTGGACACGCTGGAGGGCCCCAACGTCCCGCCCATGCAGAGAGTCCCCAGAGACATCCCCGCCGCGCTGCCTGCTGCCAAGCTACCTGCCGCCGTGCTCAACGCCACAGCCAAGGCTGTGGCCGTGACTCTGCAGTCCCAGTGAGCCCAGCTGGACTCCGTGGCTGGCAGGCTCCTCCAGCTGTGGAGTGGAGGACTGAACGACAGCCCTGGTGACGTCTCTCTGATGGGGCCGGCACCGCCACCACACTGTAGCTGCTTCAGCACCTCCGTGGCGCCTGGCAGGGCTTCCGAAGGCCACAAGACCAGGAACTTCCAGCCAGGACTGCAAGGCTCTGCAGCCGGTGCAGAAAGTGGCCCAGCTCCTCTGAGGCCCTCTCACCACCCACCCCTTCCTCCTCTCTCTCCCATTGTCGTGCTAAATATAGACTCAGTGATTAAAACACTACGTGAAGTCTGGAACTGCAGCCCCATTCCAGGGGCCCGCCCTCAGACCACTTCCTGTGTGCCTGGCACTCTTCCGTGGCCAGTGGTCGCGTCACATGTTCCTTTCCTTATACTCTGATTTAGGCGGGCTGAAGGTGGGACAGGCCAGACTCCATGGAATGCAGAGATAGGACATGGAACGTGGCCTGTAGGGCAGGGGCTACCTGGTCTGTGTCATAGGAAGGGAGCCTCAAATCCAGGAACTGCCACGCTAACGCCGCAGTGCACCGCTTCCATCAGCTCGAGCACTCCTGAGAAGCCACGGCACAGTGACCGCTGGGCAAAACCTTCCAGGCTAGATCTGCGTGATTACTAGGAGCTACACCTGGGCCGTTGCGGGGCCGCTTTTCCTCCAGAATTCACAGTTGAAGCCAAACAGCTTTGCCGCAGTTTTGCTGGGCCCAGCTCCCTGCAGTAGCTGTCTTGTCCTTTTTTGAGATTGCTGTTTACTTACAAAAATGGCTACCACCCTTTTAATGTCCACTTGTTAATTCAGGTGATTAATGGAACGGGGAAGGCTTGAGAGGCCTGCATCCTGTGGCAGAGTGCCACGGTTCAGGTCCAGGCTGCTGTGCTTCTAGGCCCACGCAATGTGCCTGGGCAGAGCAGATGATGGCTCAAGTACCGGAGTTCCGGCTCATGGCTGCGGCCTGGCCCGTCCCGTCTGCCGAGGCCATTTGGGGAATGAATTGGTGGATGGAAGATCTCTGTCACTGCCTTTCAAACATTTTTATAAAGAAAAAATGGGCGGCGCCGTGGCTCACTTGGTCAGTCCTCTGCCTGCAGCGCCGGCATCCCATATGGGCGCCAGGTTCTAGTCCCGGATGCTCCTCTTCCAGTCCAGCTCTCTGCTGTGGTCCGGGAGTGCAGTGGAGGATGGCCCAGTGCTTGGGCCCCTGCATCCGCATGGGAGACCAGGAGGAAGCACCTGGCTCCTGGCTTCAGATCGGCACAGCGCTGGCCGTTTTCAGCCATTTGGGGAGTGAACCAACGGAAGGAAGACCTCTCTCACTAACTACCTGTCAAAAATAAGAAAAATGGAACAGGGCCTTTGATTCCATAGTACTTAATATTACTCAATCCTCTGGGTGCCCGTGTTGTGGCACAGTCCCCTGCTTGCGACACAGGCATTCCATCATCACAGTGCCTGTTGGAGTTTGAATCCTGTCTGCTCTGCCTCCGATGCAGCTAACGCGCCTCAGAAGATCAGAAGGGGTCGGCACTGTGATGTAGTGGGTGAAGCCAGTGCCTGCAGTGCTGGCATCCCATACGGGTGTCAGTTTGAGTCCTGGCTGCTCCAGTTCCAATCCAGCTCTCTGCTATGGCCTGGGAAAGCAGTAGAGGATGGCCCAAGTCCTTGTGCCGCTGCACCCACATGGGAGACCTGGAAGAAGCTCCTGGCTCCTGGCTTCAGATTGGCTCAGCTCTTGCTGTTGCAGCCATTTGGGGAGTGAACCAGTGGATGGCAGACCTCTCTCTCTCTCTCTCTCTCTCTCTGCCTCTGCCTCTCTAACTCTGCCTTTCATATAAATAAATAATCTTAAAAAAAAAAATCAGAAGGCTGTGGAAGATGGCCCGAGTGCTTGGGCCCCTGCCACCCCATGGGAGACCAGGGTGGGGTTCCTGACTCCTGGCCCACCCGCTGACTGTTGCAGGCATTTGGGAAATGAACCAGGGGATGGACGATTCCTGTCTCTGTGTCTCCCTCTCATTCTACCTTTCGAATAAAATTAAAAAAAAAAAAAAAAACCCTCATTACTCTGGAGGTGTGGTCAGCAGCTTCTTTCCCTCCCACTCAGGGAACCTAACCGAGGTGTACTGTATTTGCCCTGTGTTTTACAAATGAGGCCTCTGCTGCTGTGGCCAGTGGACATAATCTCTGAGCTATGCTTCAGTCCACTTCACAAGGAACCTACGGCTGCTCGGGTCTCTGAGCCTGGCCCCCGGGGTGTCGGCAATGCCCTGCGGTGAGGCAGACCGCATCCACCTGAGCCTCATCGCCCAGGGACCCTGGCGAGTGGAGGGCGCGGGCCCCGTATTCCTGGCAGCTCAGGCCCCTCAGCCCAGCGGTCGCCCCGGAGCCTCTGCGAGGCTGCCATGTTGTCCAGCAGCAGGCGGGGAAGCCCTCGCGAGCGGAATCCCCGCGCACGCTGCGCCTCCCGTCACAGGGGGCGGGGCCTCGGAGACGAGGGAGGTGGGAAGGATTCTAAGGTCAGGGGTCTGGACCTTAGAAATGGGGGGCAACCCGAGAACAGGCAAAGAACCGGCGACTGTCACACGCCACCTCCACACGACGTGCCTCCACCGCCACCCACCTCAGGCCCGCCCCGCCGCCGCGCGTCCTGCTCCAGTCTCCCCAGCTGCAGCATGTCCCTACGCCCGGGGGCGCAGCGTCCCCACGCCCGGGCACCTGTCCGGACCACGCACGCCGCGCGCGCGCGCACCTCGTGGGCCCCCCTCAGCCACGCAGGGGCGGGGCGTGCGTGGTGACGCGGCCGTTGCCATGGGAACCCGCCGCCTGCTCCGGCGCAGGGGCTGAGGCTGGAGCTGCAGCCCGCCGCCGCCGGCCTGCCAGCTCCTGGCCGTCCTGCTAGTCGTGGGGCCGGGCCCCTGGGGCGGCAGGGGGAGCCGAGCCAGAGAGAGGCAAGAAGCGGGTTCTGCCTACGAGGGAGGACCGGTCCTTCACGTGCCAAGCCGACGCGCGTGAGCGGCCGCCGCACCGGCGAGGGACGAGGACAAGCGGGATCGCGTGCTCCCACCCGCAGCCCAGACACGGACAAGCACGGTCCGCTGCAGCCCCGGCGCCGCTCGGCCTCAACCTGGTCTGCGATCTCGGCGCCTCCGCACCCCGGCAGGCTTGGGCTCCGGCCGCGGCCCCGGCGCTCTTCTCCGCCTCCGCCGCCGCCACAGCCTCCGCCCCCGCCGCAGCCGCCGCCGCAGCCTCTGCCTCGGCCTCCTGCCCAGCTCCGGCCGCGACCCTAGCCGGGGCCGCGACCCCGACCCCGGTCCCGGGCTCGCCCGAGGCGCCGCCGGCCCCAGCCCCGGCCCGGGCTCCGCCGGCCTGGCCTTGGGCACGATGCTGCCCAGCTCCATTCAGATTTCGGGGGAACCTCTGTCGGGCGCCGAGGTGCGAGACATCTGCCGCGGCCTGCGCGACAACGCCGTGCGCCTGCTCTCCCTGCGCGGCTGCCGCCTCTGCGACCGCGACTTCGGCCGCATCTGCCGGGCGCTGGCTGGGGCCACGTCCCTGGCGCAGCTCAACCTTAACCTGGGCGTCGTGTCCAGCCCCAGCCGCATCAAGCAGCTGGCAGAGGCGCTGCGGACCAACCGCTCCATCCAGTCCCTCTTGTGAGTGCGCCCCCTCGCAAGGAGGTCCCGAGCACCGGCCCCTTCCACCCACTCCCCCGCCACCTCCCGTGCCTCCGCACACCTGCGCACACCCCTTTCCCTCTGTCCTTGCCTCCCCGAAGCCCTCCAAGCACGCGCCTTGTCCCCGGACCGTCCACACGGGATGGGACGCAGGGCACGTCATCCCTCCCCACCTAATCACTCGCATTCCCCGAGAAGGTATAGCAGGTACACCCCGGTGGAGCCCGCAGCCCGCCCCGACCTTCTGCCTACCAAAGATTTCCAGTCCACCGCGCCCACGCCCCTTCTCTGCCCCTCCCCGCGCAGTGTCCTGGATCGCGCCGGTTCCTGCCCCAGAAAAGAAACCAAATTCCCCTTCTACCTGTATTTCTGAGAATCTGGAATGTTCATCCTCCCTTCCCAGGCCTCTCTCAGGTGCTGTGACTGAGCGCCCTCCCTGCCCCCAGGCGCCCCCTCCCCGTACAGATGGGGTTCGTGACCGTACTGACTCTCCCCTCTCGCCTCACCCCCAGCCTGCATGGGAGCCCCCTCACAGACGCCGGGCTGGCCTTGCTGAACCCTGCCCTGGCCCTCCACCCGGCCTTGGTGGCTCTGGACCTGGGGGACTGCATGCTGGGTGATGAAGCCATCAACCTCATCTGTGGCCTCCTCCCTCCAGACGGGGCCAAGTCTGGTGAGCAGGGCTCTGCTTAGGGCCTGGGCTGGTGTGGCCCCGGCGAGAAGCTGCGTGCAGCGGGGATGAGGGGCGGGGCCCAGAGCTGAGGCTCTCAGGGTCAAGAAGGGGAAGGCCTGGGGGCTGAGTAGGGTGGAGACAGGAATCCAGGTGGGGACAGGAAGGGGAGGCATGGGTCCTAATTAGCTCTGGAGCTCTGTCTGCTGGGGTAAGCGGTCTCCCCGCCACCAGGGACGCCCGGAGACATGGGGTGGGGGAGAGGCCTGACCCTCCCCATCTTGGCTTCCTGTTCTGCTGCTGCCCAGGCCTGAAGGAGCTAACGCTGAGCGCCAACCCTGGCATCACCCCTAAGGGCTGGAGCCGCCTCGCCATTGCCGTGGCCCACAGCTCCCAGGTCCGCGTCCTCAATCTGGACTACAACCCGCTGGGTGAGGCTCAAGAGCGCCCCCTTGGGTTTTCACTGCCCCCTTGCCCTACAAGGACCTGGAACCATGAGTTGCCATGGGAACCTCCACCAGAGGGGAGGGAAGGCAGGGGTCTAGGAGGCGGCAGAGAAGCTGTCCTGTGTGGAGGATCTGTCACCACCTCTGGGCTGGCCTTGCTTTGCCCCCTCTCGCACCGGTAGCAGTGCTGCCCTCTCCTGGCCAGAGGGAGGGTGCTAAGGCTTTGGGCAATGGGAAAACTCTCCAGGAGGGGCCGACACAGGCCTGGGTATGAACACGGGTAAGTATGTGCATGTGTGCTGTCTCCCCAGGGGACCACGTGGCAGGGATGCTGGCTGTAGCTGTGGCCTCGAGCCGCACCCTGGAGGTCCTAGACTTGGAGGGCACAGGGCTCACCAACCAATCAGCTCAGGTGAGAAGTGTCATGTTTTAAGATTTATTTATTTACTTAAAAGGCAGAGTTACAGAAAGATATAGAAGGAGGGACAGAGAGAGAGGTGGAGAGAGAATAAGGGACATAGAGAGGGGAGACAGAGAGAGGTCTTCCATGTGCTGGGCCCCTCACTTCCCCAAATAGCCACAACGCCTGGGGCTGGGCCAGTCCAAAGCCAGGAGCTTCTTCCAGCTCTCCCACATGCTTGCAAGGGCTCAAGCCCTTGGGCCATCCTCTGCTGCTTTCCCAGGCGCTTTAGCAGGGAGCTGGATCGGAAGTGGAGCAGCCTGGAATTGAATCGGCACCCATTTGGGAGCCACAGCGCCTGCCCTGTTTTGGGGAGGATCCGGGAGCTATCTGTGACCACTCCCCAGAGGTGGCCACCGGGGTGGGAGATCCACCTTAACTGTACTCATCCTTTTCCATTCTCTTCCTTGCCCCAGACCCTGCTGGACATGGTAGAAAATTACCCCACGGCGCTGCGGAGCCTAGTGTTGGCTGAAAACAGCATTAGCCCAGAGCTCCAGCAGCAGATCTGTGACCTCCTCTCTGAGGGGGAGGAAGAGGAGGAAGTGGCAGGAGGGTCTGGCGACACCCAGGAATGGGAGAGAGGGCGGGAGCCTGCTGCCCATCGGGCGGGCGGCAACTCCTGGATGTGCCCCAGCGGTAAGAACCAGCACTGGGAGGGATGGTGGGGGTGGGAACCCAGGGCCAGCTCTCACCTACTTGGGGTCCCCAGTGAGGAACGAACATGGCCTTACTACTTTTCTGCCCTCCCACAGATCCCAGCTCTCAGATGGTGCTAATGACGTCAGGACTAGGGGACAGTCTGTTGGCTGAGACCGAGATGTGACTTTCCATGTGGACTTCACACCATTACAGTTGTCTGTGTCCCCAGCACCTGGCCCCAGATATCAGGCTCAGGCCCTAGAGGGAGGGGGTGCCTGGGGCTCTGGCAGCTCCCGGCAGTGTTGGGGGGGCGGGCGGCTCTGGAAGCTGTGACTGGACGAGATAGCCCTGGGGGAGGGGGCACACTTGAACCCAGGGCAATGCCTCTGGACTTGTTGGCAGCTGTGGCTGCAACCCGCTGGCTCGGAAGAGATTTTATGAACTCTACAACCTGGTGTGTGACTGTGGTCCCTGGGGGCGGCAGCTGGGGAGGAACTAGAACTACCACTGAGTACCACTAGAGAGCAGTATCATCCCACAGCCCAGCTCCAGGCAGCCGGTAGGGGTCCCTCTCTCTCAAATAGAACTGACCCAGGTGTAAATCTGAGGTGCTGGGACAACACCTTACACAGGTAACTAAAGAGCTCACCCTCAAAGCTGGACTGGACCCCACCACCAAGGGGAGCCTCGTGGGCCCCGAGATTACTTGCGGTGTTCCTCCTCCCGCTACCTGATTCTACAGGCCCAGGTCAGCCCAAGGAAGAGCTGGGCAACACAGTGCCAGCAGCGAAGCCCAGAGCAAGTCAAGGACTAGCAACACTCAGGAACAGGGAGAAGGGTGGAGAGGGAAGGCCTGTAGGACGAATTAGGCAATACCGGCAAAATAGTTTTATTTGATTTTAAAATAGTCATCCACATGAAAATTTCCCAAAGCTGGGAGTAACAGTCTAGAGCCAAGGTTGGGAGGGGGCCAGGCCTCACCCAGGGCCTAGCTGGGGGTCCCTGAGCCCCACCCTGCCTTCCAGAGCGGGGAGGGAAGCAGCTGAGGGGAGCCCTGAGTCAGTCCCTCCCTCGTCCCCAAGGCCAGCCAGGCCAGGCCCCTGGAGCAGGATTTAGGGGAGAGGGAGACAGGCAGAAAACGGAAATTAGAGGTTAATAACCCCAATGTCACCCCCAAAACCAAAGCTCATGGTCATGAAGGGAGGATGGAGGGGGAACACTGATGAAGCCCCCCTGTTCCCCAGAGTGGCGCAACCTGGGGTACCCCGAGGGGCAGAAAGGGCTTGCGAACAACCGCGTGTTACCTTTGGAGAATAAATGTTCCAGAAAGGCAAGGAAAAAAACCACGGATGAGGCAAGCTGGTGCCAGTCAGTGCAGCTAAAGGCTTGGTACGGCCTCCACCTGACCCCACCCACACAGGCCACAGGGCTGTGCGGGACTGGAGAGGGAGGAGTTCCAGGGCTTGGGCTGGGGACCAGAGCTGCAAGGGCCCAGGGCCTCCTCGCGCAGCCGCAGTGCAGCAGTGACAGGAAGGCCAGCAGGGCCCTAGTTGAGGAGGTTGCCCTGCTCCTGGGCCTGGGTCAGGCTGTCCTTGCGGTGCAGGTGGTGCACCCCCATCCTCTTGGGGCTGCGCTGGGGGCGGCTGGAGCTGGGGAGAGGCCAGGCCCTGCCCTCGGTTTGGCAGGTGTCAGGCCCCTCCTCAGTGTCCCTATCACCGGGCAGTAGGCTCTGGCGCTCTTCCTCAGGGCTGATGGGCAGGTTCAGCTCTTCCTCCTCCTCCTCCAGGGGAAAGCCAGAGTCACGTTCTGTGCTCAGCAAAAGCCCACTCTCGTCGGGTGGAGAAGAGGGTGCGTGAAGCACCTCATCTCCGTCGGCAGGGCTAAGGGCAAAATGGCGCTGCAGCTCGGGGAGCGCGTCCCGTCCGAAGGCTGTGCGCTGGGCCGCGGCGGCAGGGGGCGGGGTGCGGTCCACGAATGCCCGCCGCCAGCTGGCCAGCAGGTCCTCCTCGGAGCTGGCAGCGCTGCCTGGGGCGCTGAGCGCTGGGGGGGCTGGGCCCGGCTGGCGCTGCGGTGAGGCCTGGGCTGAGGTGGGGGTGCTGGGCGCGGGGCTGCGGCGGGCCCGCTCACTGCCTTCCTCCACCAGGCTCAACGAAATGGCCTGGCGGGTAGCGTACGTGCAGTTGGGCAGGGGGCTGTTCCGGGGGATCCGAACCTTATCCTCAGAAAACTCTATCACTCTGCGGCCAGGGTACAGCGGGTGTGGTGGAGAAGGGGTAGGATATGGGCTCAGCTTCTCAAAAGCTGGTAGGGGCAGCTCCTCTTCTGGGGAACCCCCCGTAGTACCCAGGGAGCGACACTCCCCATTGGGTTGGGGGGTGGGGCTGCCAGGGGCCAGGGGATTGGCCGGGTCACCCGAGGCGCCCCCACTCATGTCCACGTGCACAAAGACGTCCTCGGCCAAGGGGCGCCCAGCGCTGCCAGACTGGGCTGAATTGAGCAGTAGAGACTCTGGCTTCTCCAACACCCGTGCAATGACCGACGTAGGCACCACGGCCCCTGGGGCCGGGCTGGGAGCAGGGCCCGGGCTGGGAGCCTCCTGACCACTGTGCAGATGTTTCCGAACCATGTCCTGGAGCTCACAGGGCAACTGAGGTAGGGGAGCAGGAAGAAGAAGAGCCATCAGCGATCCCAGCCAGCCAGAGTCCGAGTCAAGGCTGCCGCGTCCGAGCAGCACGTCGCTCGCTCTGTGCTCACAGCAGGCCCGTGGACAACCTCACTGCAAGCCGTCAGGAGGCTCAGCCGGGGCAACACAGCACGAGCTCTCACTAACGAGCAGCCTCTGAGCCTGGATGTGCCGCCGAGGCCGTGTGCCCTCAGGCTTCCACCTCCACCTCCTAAGCAGCCTCTGTCCAAACCAGGCTGAGTTAGAGAATCTGTAATGACGAGTGGCTGGCAAAACCCTTCTCCTCCTGCAAGCCGCACTGACCTTGGGCCTGAGGCTCTGGGGGGTCCAAAGTGTGCCCCTTGGGGTGACAGGATCAGGTGGTCCTAATCCTTTCTCAATGCTCTTGGCCAACAGCTCTGGCCACACTCTCCCTCCTGCAAGGGGTCCTATCTGTTACAGAAGCACCAATAGGGCCAGGCCCCAGCACTAGTGACAGGTCCCTGACAGCACACAGACCACGGGCCAGCAGCAGAGCTCACTGGCTTGAGAGGAGATATGGAGGAAGAGGAAGACAAAGTGGAAGTGGGCTCTTACAGGCAGGAGGACAAAGAGGTGCGGAGCGGAAGGCGGAGGAGGCCTGCCACAGCAAGCATGGCGTCAGGGGCGCGTGTTCTACTCACATCAGCAAACTTGTGGTTGCGGAAGTGGGACTTGTTGCACTTGAGGAGCTGCACAGCCAGGTTGCAGTCCAGTCGGTACCGCTCCTGCAGGTGCAGACTCGGGTCAGAGCCAAGCCTGGCCCTGCCCAGGTCAACAGGGCTGCGCCAGGACAAAGCCAGCCCCGGGCGAGGAAGGCCCTGGGCGGGGGAGGGGCACGTACGTTGAGCTCCTCCAGCTTATTGATGGTGTTCTTGGCATCCAGCAGCTTGTTGGTCAGCTCCACAATCTCCCAGTCCAGCGTCTTCCTATCCATCTCAGCCTTCTTGATCTGTGGCACACACTTGGGGTAAAATGGGCCACATCCCAGCCAGCCCTTCCTCCCCCTCTGCCTCTTCCCAGCCCAGGAGACACGAGGCCACAGGTGCTAGGGCAGCCAAGGCGGACAGAACAGAGACAAATGATGGACAAGACAGAAGGAGACCGGGCACTTCTGCTCTCCGGCCAGCTGAGCATGACCTACTGCCGCCTGGGCCCAGGACGGACACAGTATAAGGGCTGCCCATCCTTTGAGGGCAGCCAGGGGACTGAAGCCCCTGTGTGCAGCTGTTTCCAGGATCAGGCTGGGAAGAGGGAGGAGGTGGTGGGGCCGGGCGGCAGCCGGGGCGCCTGTGAGATTATCTCTCTGAGCAGGAGGGAGCTGCAGGTTCAAAAGTAGCCTCTGATCTCCAGCCACCCCTCCCCCAGGACAGCCTGGGCTGTCTGCCACCGCAGGCAAGGAGCGGTGCGTGTTCCGTGACATCAGTCAGTACCTCTGGCAGAGCCAAGAGCGGGCGCCCCAGCTCTCTCCCAGGAGGGAGGCACTGACTACTGGACGGGCCTCACACAGGGAAGAGGAAAGGAGGAAGTGTACTTAAGAGGGACAGGGAAACAGCGGGGACCCCTGCCATCCCGGATCTCAGCTGGGGAGGAGGCCAGGACGAAGGAGAAACACACAAACTCAGACGCAACTGCAAAAATCCAGCTGTGGCTGAGAGAGGCCTGAGAGGAGAGTGCGGCAGCGACGGCGGCAGCGTGGGGGAGACGAGGAGAGAAGAGAAACAGTGTGAGCGTAAGACGGTCCTGACGCGCACAGCACACTGCGGTCCCTGCCGCCGCTGCCCCCACCCCCCAAGCCGAGGCAGAATGGCGTGCCCGGAGTCCTAGCCCAGCTATGCTGCACGCACGGTGCAGCCACACTGCCCTCCCGGACGGGTTACCAGCGTGTGCAGCTTGTCCTCCAGCTCCTGGTTGGTTCGCTGGGAAGCCGTGTAGCTATTCTGCAGCCTGATGAGGGACACGGGCAGACCCTCAGGTCAAGATCCTGTTTTGCAGGCCCCACTCAGCCCCTCCTCCATCCAGGATGGTGGACAAGTCATTCTCCTCCCACAGCTTCCATCTTCTAATCAGCATCACATGACCTCCGCGGCCGCCTCCAGCTAGCCTCCCATCAGTGGGGAGATGCCTGCGTGTGCGTGTCTGGCCCCCCATTCCCACACCTGCGGAACTTGTCCTTAAACTTGTCAAGCTCCTCGCGGCTCTGGCCCAACTCCAGCTCCAGGCAGTCCTGCCCGATTTCCAGCTCACGCTCCAGGGCTTCGGTGCGTCTGGTGGCTGAGGCCAGACGTCGGCGAAGCTCTTCATTCTCCTGCTGCAAGAGCCTGGCAAGGTGGGGTCAAGAGCACAGGGGCGTCAGAGATGGAAGGGCCAGGGCCCACCCGGTGCCGCCAGTCACGTCCCGTTAGTTATCAGAGTGCAGATCCAAGTTCCGGCTGCTCTGCTTCCAGCCTAGCTCCAGGCTCATGCGCCGAGGAAGGCAGCAGAGGATCACTCAAGAACTTGAGCCCTTGCCACCCATGTGGGAGACCAGCAGGGAGTTCCTGGCTCCTGGCTTCGGGCTAGCCCAGCGCTGACTATTGCAGCCATTTGGGGAGTGAACCAGTGCATGGAAGATCTCACTCTCTCTCCCTCCCTCTCTGTCATTCCACCTTTCCAATAGATAAATCTTAAGAGAGACAGAGAGAAAGAAAAAAAGATGGCCAGCCCTAGAGCTGTAGGCTGGGCTCAGGATGACATGAAGACAGGCAACTGGGGGCAGGAGATTCCTGGAGCCTTGGCCTGAGGCCAGGGCAGCATCTTCTATAGGCCTGCAGGCCCTGAGAATACAGTCTGGATCAGAGGGTAGAGGAGACAGAGAAAATGGCAGGGGAGAGGCCAACCTCCCCCGACTATCACCAAACAATGGCAAGACAGAACTCGAGGAGGGTCCGACTCTCAGACTGTCTCTTGTTACAGCCCAAGCCAGCCAGCAAGCAAGCCCCCAGCTCCAGTTTCCCCCTTGCACAACCAGGCCTCTCCATTATTAATCTCTTGGAAATCCAGCCCAGCCCTGCCCTCCTCTCCAGAGGCCTCACGTGGCTGACAGAAAGGACCACAGGGAGGCAGCTGGTACAGGAGGGCCCCTGAGTTCTCTCTCGAGTCAGAGCTGGGAAGGGGCCCCCTGGCAAGAGCAGGCCCCTCAGAGCCACCACCTCCTGATTCCAGCATTCTCTTGGAGGCCATCAAACAATAAAACCCTCTTTTCCAGAAAGAACAGCCACAACATCAAGACTCCTCCCAGAGCCCCTAAACCCCCATCCCAACCTTTACCTCTGCCTAAGCTAGGAAAAGCCACTTGTGTCACTAGCCTAGCCTGGGGCTCGGAGGGAGAGAGCTGAGCCGGGGCAGCAGCTCAGGCGAGATACTCACTTCATCCTCTCTGCGTCAGTCAGGGTCTCCTGGGGAAAGAGGACAGAAGCTTGAGGCTCACCTCTGGACCACTGGCCTCCCGACGGGCCCACCCTCCAAAGAGCCTCGGGGAAGCGTCATGCCTGAAGCCCAAAGACTCACAGAGGAGAGGGATGGAAGCAATCCAACAGTGCCCAGTCAACCGAGATCACTCTCCCACACCAACCGCAGGATTCAAGAGCCCCTCCCAAACTTCACCCTTGATCCTGAAGCCATTATCAAACTGATCCTGGTACCCGAGCCACCTCTCCCAGGGAGCCTCTTAGCTGCCCACTGGGCTCCCTGTGGGCCCTGTCTCCACATAGGCCTGGCAGAGGCAATCAGAGTTTAGATAGAAGTGTTCTGCCACAGCCCTCCTGGCTCCCGGGGGAAGACAAAGCCAGGAGAAGAGCGCATTGGTAGGAGTCTCCTGGGCCAACTCTGCCCGAGAGGAGTCAAGTGTCCCGTCTTGCTTTTAACAGCCTGTCGCATTCTCCTCAAGCCCCTCTGTTGCTCTAGGCCCCACAGTCGGAGCTGTGAGCCACAGTGGAGCAGGCCTGCCACAACAAGAGATGTGTTAAGGAGCCTTACTCCAGATGGGGCACTCAGGGGCCCAGACCACAGACTCTGGAGCCACCGACAACTGGGTAAGACCCAGTTCCAGCAAGTACTGTCACATGTCCTTAACCACCCAGAGCCTTGGTTCCCTCACAAACACGGGGAATGCCCACAACGCAGCTTCCACCACAAGCTGGCGTTTTCACTTCACGGTCCCTGAGCTGAAATGGGCGAGTCATGGCCCTGCTGCCCGAGGCTGACCGTAGGGGCCGCAGTGGGCCTGATGCTCAGCACCTGCTAACTGTCTCCTAAGTTCCTGACATGCGCTCCATGCACAGCAGCAGGGTGGGGCACCCAGGGCAACACCCCTGCCCCGTTAGGAAGCTTCCTGAATGAGGAGAGCCAGTGTGCGGTGTGCCTGGCAGCTGACTGCAGGCCGCCCAAGAGCAGGGCTGGGCCCCACCCCAGGTGCTGGTGGGCGTACACGTGTAACCCATGTTAGCCAGACATAGCACAGCTGGAGGAAGGGCAGACCTCCTGGGGACAGAAAGAGCAGCTGGCCTGCTGGGAAGTGGGCAGAGCGCCGCCACCTGACAGCCTCCAGAGGGGACACAGGTCGAATAATTTTCTTTCGCTACGGAGGGCAGCAGGTCAAGACTCCTCAGGTGGGAGGGCTGCTGAGCCACAAAGACCCTGGGGCTCCTGCACGGACACTCACTCACAGATGGGCCCCAGGAGCCTCCTTTGCCCCCACCAGCCCTGCTGCAGCTGGGAGAGCCCAGGCCTGTCATCAACAACGCCACCTCTCACTCTAACTCAGGAACCAGCTCAGGTGGGGAAAGTCAGCCAGATGCACAGCCTCTGCCAGCCAGGACAGGGAGACCAGCCCTGCTGACCTCCTGCTCAAGGCGGGCTCCAGGAACGTCCAGCCGCAGCTCCCGATGCTCCGGTGGTGCCTTCCGGTAAGGTTTCTTAGCAGGGGCCGCACTGGTCATTCTGGGAGGTCAGGGCTCCTCCACCACCTGCTAGAGGGAAGCGAGAAGGGAGGAAACTCAGAGGTGTGGTCAAAAGGCCTTTGGATGCACGGGGAGAAGAGAAACACATACAAGCAGACAGACGACAAGACAGAGAGTATGTTCTAAGTGCTACAGCAAAGGATAGACGCCAAGAGCTCTACACAGCCCAGAGGAAAGAAACTAATTCTCACGTGGGCTGGGGTGGGTGGGGGATAACGTGGAAGATGTCAAGAGAAGAACAGCTCTGGCGTTGTCTTCTGCAGTTTCTTGAGGGAACCTCGCTTTGCCCATCATTCAGCTTATTTGGTCTCCAGGTGGGTTTCCTTTGTCTTGTTCCATTCCCAGCCCAGCCTCGGTGCTGACAGCGCTGAGAGGCGCGTGCCAGCACCAGGAGATCCTCACCGGAACTGAGCCAAGGCAGCTGCCATGCTTTTGCACCTCCAAAGCTATATCTGACGGCTATGGAGAATTCTCAGTAGCTGCAGACAAATGAAGGTAAGCCAAAGGTGCCAACTGAATAATTTGGGATGTCCCTGAGAACTGAACTTGAACAAATTGAAAAATAATTCTATAGTGCACCCTAGACTACCTTCTGTTGTTTGGAGGGCTTATCAAGAATATTCTATAGATATTATATATAATGTCACCCAAGAACTTTTGGGGACATCCATGGACTCAAGGAACTCCAGCCCTCGACAGGAGATCCCATTTCGGGAAGGGTGTGTTTTGTTCTGGGCAGGTAGGAGGGGAGGCATGACAATGAAATTTTTAAAATATTTGTTGTATTACTTTTATCTTTCTCATTTTTTTATTTATTTTTTTTTTTAATTTAAGAGATAGAGTTATAGACAGTGAGAGAGAGAGACAGAAAGGTCTTCCTTCTGTTGGTTCACTCCCCAAATGGCCACAACCTCTGGAGCTACACCAATCCGAAGCCAGGAGCCAAGAGCCTCCTCCAGGCCCAGGGGCCCAAGGACCTGGGTCATCCTCTACTGCTTTCTCAGGCCATAGCAGAGAGCTGGGTGGGAAGAGGAGCAGCCAGGACTAGAAGCGGCACCCATATGGGATGCCAGCGCCGCAGGCAGAGGATTAACCTACTGCACCATAGCGCGGGCCCCTTTTCTCCTCATTTATATAGCTTGAAGCAGCTTTGGTGTGCCTTTCCATAGTTGTCCAAATTTGCAAGTGTTCCCCTTCAGTGATCTTTTTCCACTTGGTTGGATGCACGTGCAGATAGTGACTGGGAGTGCACTGCCTCTGTCTGACATCTGTGTCTTCATCTCCCCTCCACGTGGGTGCCAGCAGTGGAGAGTGAGTCACCCTTCCTGTGTGCCCCATTGCTCTGTATCCTTATGACTGATGGCAGGGTCAAGGTTACAAAGGTGGTGTTTGTTCTTGATCCAGTGGAGACGCCTTGGAGCACCTGAAGATCAGGAACACGCTTCTCTCCATTCCGGAGGGGTCAGTTTGGGGGATCACTGAGCAGGAAAGGGCTGATGCTATGTGGTTACCCACGGTGTCAGGGAAACATCGTTTTCTCTTACTGGAGTTAATTATTCTACAGAAGTCATTGACTCAGAGGACATATTTAGCCTTGTGCCTTTTCCTTCCTTTACCCATGCTCTCTGAATTAGCTGACATTATTCACACAGAATCCACAGCATTCATGCTGTCCTTTAGGCAATGTCTACACCTGGCAGACATTTACTGATCAGAGATTGAATAACTTAGGGAATTCTGTACAAAATTATACACCATTTAACTCAAGAAATTATGATCAAGGCTTATGATTATCTTAAGACTGTAGGGGCCGGCACCATAGAATAGCGGTAAAGCTGCCACCTGAGGTGCCAGCATCCCATATGGGTGCCAGTTCCAGTCCCAGCTGCTCCATTTCCCATCCAGCTCTCTGCTATGACCTGGGAAAGCAGTAGAAGATGGCCCAAGTCCTTGGGCCCCTGCACCCATGTGGGAGACCTGGAAGAAGCTCCTGGCTCCTGGCTTTGGATCAGCCCAGCTCTGGCCATTGTGGCCATCTGGGAAGTAAACCAGCAGATGGAAGACTCATTCTCTCACTCATTCTCCCCCCACCTACCGCCTTTGCCTCTCTGTAACTCTGCCTTTCAAATAAATAAATATTTTTTTAAAAAAAGACTGTAGCAATACATAAACTTATACAATGAAATTTTGACAGGTGATGACCTCAAATGAAAGTGTATCTACAACACTGAAAAACAAATAAACAAACAAAAAGGCCTTTGAACTAAAAAAAAGGAAAAAGGATGATAAAAGGGGACATACGTAGAAGCCACCGCAGACAAGCCTGGGCAATTGCTAGGCCATTAGAGGGCCTTCACATTCATGTGTCAGTGGTCCTGGCCAAAAGAAGAGCATGGGTTCAGCGGGGGAACTGAAGGGTGGGAGACACAGGGCCCCAGGCAGCAGGGACTGTGCTCCAGCAGCAGGGCAGGGAGGCTACAGAGCACCCTCACTCTCCTCTGCAGGCTTAAAAGGCCTCCCTATGCATCATTTTCCTCAGCTTTAAACTGGGGATAAGAATGGCACCAGTTTCATAGGGTTCGTGTAAGCACTATGCAAAACACTAGGTGCTCCTTACTCAGAAAATGTTCAATAAACCTCAGCTTAAGAAAATCATAACCAAAACATAAGGGTTTACGAATGTTCACCCAAGCCAAGATCCTCAGTGGGGCGCCACACTCAAGAGAGCTCTCCAGCCACAGCCACTGCAGGGCAAGCCCCCGTGACCTCCACCAAGAGAGGATACTTGCCTGCCCCTCCCCGGCCAATCTCCCCAGGAGAGAGCCAAGTGCAGGGCACAGGCCGTGTCAGAGACATACCGTCTGTGTGTCGGCAGCTTGCTCTGTTCCGCTGTCCGGCAGTCAGCCCTCGGCTCTCCGCATCCCACGGCCCCTCCACTTCCTCTAGCCAACAGATCCTGAAACCAGAGAAGGGGAGAAAGTGGAAACCAGGTGTCAGCCACCTGTCTGTCGGTGCCACAGGCCTGCTGGCCTGTCTGGGACCTGGAAGGCCCCCAGGGAGAGCCAGGAAGGCAGGCCATGGAAGAAGGAGCCTGGGGGGAAAGCGGCGGAGGTGAGGGATGCCGCGAAGCACTGTGCTCCTGCCTTTCTCCTCGACAGCACTGTCCTGGCCCAGATGACACTGTGACTGCACACACGTTCACGGTCTCAGCCTACCACTGCCCCATTCTGGAACAGATCCGCTTCTGCCTGTCCCTAGCCCTACCGCGATCTGTCCTGTTCATCTCCTACGCTTCTTGGGTCTGGAAGCCACTAAGACATTTGGGAAGCATAGAAAGCAAAGAACGCCAAGAAAAACCCTGGTAAAAACACAAGAAGATGGGCAGAGAAGATGCCAGAAAGAGAGCTCCTGGTAATGTTCTACAAGGAGCCGAGAGCCTGCTTCTGTGTGCAATGGTGGCCAGCAGGCTCTGTGATGTGGAGGCACGGGTCCAGGAGAGGAGAGCTGGAAAGAGCCATTTAGAGCAGTGGTCCCCAGCCAAGGCAACGCTGCCCACTCCCCTTCCCCCAGAGACAGCTGGAAAACATTCTTAGTTGTCAAAACATGAGAGCTGGGGAGGTAGGCGCTACTGGCATCCAGTGGGGTGAGGCCAGGGATGGTGTCAGTCATCTTGCAACACACACAGCCCCCACAACAAAGAAGTATCACATCTGGCTGAAAAGCCCGTGAGAGCATTTCAGGCATGGAAAGCCAAGACACTGTGGCAAAAAATGATCTACATGAAGGATCTCTGTGAGTGAGACCCCAGTGGAAAGAAGGGGCCATCAAAGAAGGATGCACTTTTCTCTGAAGGGAGGAAAGAACTTCCACTTTGCTTACGGCCTTGTCTAAATAATGATGGAGTTTGTGGATTCAAAAGGCTTCCATAGCCTTGGCAGCTCATGACAAGAGCCTCAGGTGATTGCTGACGTCATAAATAAGAGTATCAAGTGTTAACAACTGGAGTCACTGTAGAACCTCTGTCCTTAAGGAGTTTTACTGTGAGAATTAACTGCAAAACTTGTCTTAAAACAGTACCTTATATTTTGTGTGTCTGTGTGGATGCAAACTGTTGAAATCTTTACTAAGTACAGAGTTGGTCTTCTGTATATAAAGATAAGTAAAAATGAATCTTAATGAAGAATGGGATGGGAAAGGGAATAGGAGGTGGGATGGGAGTGGGGGTGGGGGTGGGAATGGGGGGAAGAACCGTTACATTCCTAAAGCTGTACCTATGAAATTTGTATTCATTACATTTAAAAAAATTTTTTAAAGAAGTTATCACGGCAAATGGTCAGCAGTGCCAAAGTTGAGAAATCTTGGACTAGAAAACCCAGGATCAGCACTGCCTCTGGCCAAGTATGGCGCCCCAGGGACTGCATGACCTGTGAGGTCCCCTGCGGGATCCTGGGATTCGAGATTGGCCCCACCCCTGCTGGGCCCCAACTTGTAATAAGCTGGGCTGCGGCATGGGGGCAGCAGCCGCCATGGGGAAGAGTGGAGGCATTAACCTCAGGCGGCCGTCTGGGCCTAACAACAATCCCTACCCACCCCATCAACCTACACAGAGCTGGGGGCTGAGGGAAGCCCTGCGGGCTAAAGCGTGTGTTCTACTGTCGGGACATGCCCTGGCCATGACTCCTGTCACATTCCAATAGGGCCGGCGGCACAGAGAGCTGGGGGTTGGGGAGTCGGGGCACAGAGCAAGAGTGGTCCCCATCCTCTGTCTGGGCAGCCAGTCCCTGGTGTGGGTTGTAGGGGAGGGCCAGGGTGTGGCAGCATAGGCACGCGCCGCCAGCCCCCGCCCCTTGCACGGGAGGCAGAACGTGTCCCCACAGGGCAAGAGCAGCAAGAGCAGCATGCTGGGTCGGGCTGACTCCCTGCGCAGGAATCCAGGCAGGCCTGAAAGGACAGCACATTCCTGGGGTGTGGGGGAGCAAACAAGTCACTGCCAAGGTTCCCTGGGGCTGCCCCTCCACGGGGCCCCAGGGTGAGGGCTCCTATGGCCTAAGGAGAGGCCCACAACTGCCAAACCAGACTGGGCTCCTGGCTTTTGATACTCAGGGATGTGTAGGGTGGGGGCTACATATGAGTGCCAGGGCAGGGCAGAGGTCTAAGATTAAGAGATAGGGGCAGCCCAGGGCTTCATACAGAATCACAGAGAAGCTCTAGAGTTGGCCTCCACCTCCTTCGCTTCTCTGTGGAGAAACTAGGTCCCTCTCACTCCTCCATTTGCTCCCCAGTGAGCTGGGGAACCTCCCAGCCCACCCCTGAAGACCCTTCCTCCATTCTGAGCCTCTCCTTCCCTGCTCTTACTCCTGCCGTGGTCCACACTGTCCTCTAGGTACTAGGACACGTGAGGGAGCAGTGGGCGGGCAGGGAGGCCTGTGGCATGCTCAGGTATCTGGTAATTCTACCTGTAAGGAGTGCTGCCGCTGCCTTCTCGCCCGCAGCCCTAGATCTAGTTGCCACACATCCCACAGCTCATCCCGCTGTGCCCTGACCTTAGGACCCCACGCCCCAGCCCTGGGGCATGTGCTCATTCCCAGAGCTTCACTGGCAAGAGAAAAGCCAGCTTGCTGAGCAGGACAGTGGCGGTGCTGCTGGCAGTGAGATGGGGACTCTGGGCATGAGGCTGGTATGACAGCAGCCAGTGCCTGCCTGCTCTCTTCAAACGTGTCAGTCACAGGGAGGAGAAGCCACTCCGACCAGGGAAGCAGAAGGCCAAGCCCACGGAGGGGACAATCCAGCACGGAGCCTGCGGCATCCCCAGCACAAGTCCACAAGGAGATCTGTGTGCTGTGCTCACAAGCACTCAGGCCTCAGCTCCAACTCCTGAAATCTTCCAAGTGCCCCAGATCCAGCCTGCGAGGGGCCCACAACTGCAGTCCCGAACAGAAACTCAGTGGGCTGAGGGCTCACTGCCCTTGACTAGCAGTGCTAACAGGAAGGGAAGAACAGACCCAGGGAGCAGAGGAGAGCAATGCGGTGGGAGGGGTCCAGGGGACAACAAAGCAAGAAGCTGGACCCTGGGGCCCCGAGCTGGAAGATCAATGGAGTGGGCTGGAGGTGAAGATATCAGGGACGTCCCTTCAGGAAGAATCGGCTACCAGGTTAGCCTCCCCTGGCCTCATCTCCTTCACCAGGCTGCCTTGGAGTGTTGCAGCCCCTGGGGGACTCCCAGTCTCCTGACAGGACAGGGAGATCCCCAAGGAGAGCAGCTGGACAACTCAGAATGGGCCACGGGCCATGGTACGCGAGCAACAGCCCAGGGAAGCCTCCCGGGCCTCGGCCCCTGGATGCTGAGCCAGCTCCAGGTGCCTCCTGTAGGAAGGTCCCACCCCTCAACTCAACTACCTGAGCCTCAAGGAGTTAGGCAGATGGCTGAGGACACAGGGCTACCAGATCGTGTGCCAGGTTCTACTACAGGAGGAGCTGGCCCAGGGAGAAGGTGGTGAAAACCACTGCTGAGCCAGCCTGGCCTGGGCCTCCTCGGGCTGGGCCTGCGGGCACTTCGAGGAAAACACCCAAGCAGAAGCAAGCCCTCCCTCCCCACCCTTCCCCACCTCTTTCCTCTGCCACCCAGCATTCATTCTTTTACTCACGATCAGTTCAGAGGAGAGGTGTGTGCTGAGGCAAAGGGGGCGACAGCTTCCTGTCATGTTGCAATCTGCCAGTCGGCACAGGCCGCCTGTTGCCACCTGCCCTGTATTAAATACCTTCTCCCTGATTACAGCCCATGGGGCACGATTAGCTGCCTTCAGAGAACAAAGTCTACTTTCATTAGAAATGGGACTCGGCACGCACAGGAACCTGCGATGTGAACCCGCACCGTGAACCCATTGCACAGCTGGGCAAGGTGGAGAGAGAGACAGACAGAGATGAGAGGTGCAATCTGCACCAGAAGCTGCCTGAGCAGCTGTAATCAAAGGACAAACAATTTGCCAAGCACAGCTCCTTCACCAGGTGGGACTCATCCCTGCACCCTTTAGCCGGCAGGTGCTCGTGCCCCAGGGCGCCCACCTCAGAGACCACTGAGCTGGAGGTGGAGTGACTCCCTTAAGCTACCCTTCCTCCTCCTCCTAGCAAATATCCACAGGAGGCAACCCCAGAAAGGTTCAAGCACATAGCAAGGATGACCTCCCACTTCCTTCCACTGTCCTTTCTGGGGTCTGCCCAAGGCCCAGGCAAAGTCAAAGGTGGAAGAGAGTAAGGGAGGTGCAGGCAGTCAGTCTTCTTAGCGAGGGCTGAGATCACCCTTTAGCACTGGCCAGGAGAGAGACAGGACTGACTCCACAACGGACATGGCTCTTTGGCTTCTCCAACTACAGCCCTCCACACGGGACAGCTCCAGCTACCACTTCGCACCCTACCGCCTCATCCCACAGCCCACTGGCCCTGGGCCAGCTGCCCTGCCCTCTTCCCCACATCATGAACACCCATTTGAAGAAATTATCCCCCAACAGGTTATCTGGGCTCAGATCGTTTCTGAAACCTCTGATCAGCCTTTCTGCTCACAGCTGTCCATGAATGAATTACACCAGTGAGGAGCCTTGGAGTGTTGGGGGGATGGGGAAGGGTGTCAATGAACCCAATCTTCAGTAGCAGAGAGGGCCCACGTGTCACCACAAAGATCATTCAAGCATTTTTCATAATTCACCCAAGGAAAGTCAAAGGGAACTTAGTAATCACTGGCACCTTTTAACCCAAAGAAAATCCCGGCCCTACTGCAAAATACACAGCTGCAGTGTATGCTGCTATCATCACTCCCTTGGAACCCAGCAGGACATGAATAAGTAACAAAAATAGAGACCCTCCCTAATCAACTGCTAGAATATGAATGAATGATCAAACAGGCAGCAAGGCCTTTCCTGGAGGTGCTCTGAGTTAGACACCTTGGATATAGGCTCTGAACTCTGCAGGCCTACGGGAGCTGCATCCTGCTGGCGGTGGGTTACTCTCCTGTCACACAAGTCTGGCACTTCTCAAGCTTCAAGTCCAAGCTCTGCCCCCAACTGAAATCCAAGAAATACACCACCACCCTGCAAGAGCAGTCCTGTTACCAGGTGACCCAGCAGGAGCCCTGGGGACTGCCCCTCTCCACCTCAACTGCCCGTGGAGAGTAGAGGAGTCCCCTGGCAGTGAGCTGGACCCTACTAGAGCTGGGTTCAGCCTCCCCTTCTCCATCTCCCAGTGCCCCTCCTGTTCACCTCTAGCCCTCAGTTTCCGGCATGCAGCTGTTCCTGAGACCCATGAGCAAAGCCCTCAGCAATCCTGGGCACGTGGCAGGCAGGCAGCCAACAGCTCATGGGGTGGGGCCTGGGCAGAGGTTCTGCTCTGGGCTGATGACTAGGCTGGAAGAAGCCAGTCTGTGCCCAGACCAGCCCTGTTGCCCCTTCAATAGCAATGCCTACCACCCCTCTGTGCGAGTACAACCTCACCCTCTTGGGACAAGTTGCCTGCAGCCCTAACCTGGCCACTTGCCTACTCTACCCTGAACAAATACCAGGGTTTTGAAAAACAAAATAGGTGATAATTATTCTGCCCTGGAGTAATTCTGAGAATTCCAGCAAGTCCTGGTGCCCTGTGGGAGCTCATTTGGTTCCCCACCTGAGCAAATATCTCGAGTCTATTCACCTCGCCTCTCATCCAAGTGAACATTTGGCAAGAGCAAACGGGCTGAAGACTACTGATGATGATCCAAGTGAACCAATCCTCTACCAAATAAAGGGAAGACCAAAAAAATCCCCCAAGTTTATGGCCAGCACTTGACATTTGACCCTAAGCTTCCTCTTAATGATGAACAAAGTGCAGGAGGGGCGACACACTTCAACTCCAGCCCCCCCCCCTTTTTTTTTTTGACAGGTAGAGTGGATAGTGAGAGAGAGACAGAGAGAAAGGTCTTCCTTTTTGCCGTTGGTTCACCCTCCAATGGCTGCCGCGGCCAGCGCATCGCACTGATCCGAAGCCAGGAGCCAGGTGCTTCTCCTGGTCTCCCATGGGGTGCAGGGCCCAAGCACTTGGGCCATCCTCCAATGCACTCCCTAGCCACAGCAGAGAGTTGGCCTGGAAGAGGGGCAACCGGGACAGACTCTGGCGCCCCAACCGGGACTAGAACCCAGTGTGCCGGCGCCACAGGCGGAGGATTAGCCTAGTGAGCCGCGGCACCGGCTAACTCCAGGCCCCTTTTGACCTCTCAACCACAACCAAGCCAAAAACCCCTCCAGCTTGCCAACTCCCTGAACAGGGTCCTTAAAGGTCCCTGTAGCAGGGCCGGCACCACAGCTCAATAGGCTAATCCTCTGCCTGCAGCGGTACTGACACACCAGGTTCTAGTCCCAGTCGGGGCACCGGATTCTGTCCCGGTTGCCCCCCTTCCAGGCCAGCTCTCTGCTGTGGCCCGGGAGTACAGAGGAGGATGGCCCAAATGCTTGGGCCCTGCACCCCATGGGAGACCAGGAGAAGCACCTGGCTCCTGCCTTTGGATCAGCATGGTGCGGCGGCCATTGGAGGGTGAACCAATAGCAAAGGAAGACCTTTCTCTCTGTTTCTCTCACTGTCCACTCTGCCTGTCCAAAAAAAAAAAAGTCCCCATAGCACCCACACCTTCTCATGTTTACACACACCCACAGTGCTCCTGAGCAGGGCTCCCTCCCAGCCAAAAAAGAACTAAATCTATTGCAAGGGCCTTCAGGTCTCCAGTACGCCCTATCCAGCCAACCCGGTACTGTGCCAAACCCAGAGGCTGGGGACCTGAGAGTCTTTCTAAAGACTGACCTGTGCACAGCACCATGGAGACCAGGGAAACTGGCCTTCCTATTGTCCCCAAGCCCCTCCCACCCCAGCCCCTGTCTCTTCCCAAGCCTCATGGGTACAGGGAGCGGGGAAGGAGAGTCTCCGTGCCAGGTATCACTCACCAGTCTCCCAATCTGAGGCCAACCAGGTCATGCTCCCTTGGTCGAGGCACCCTTCTTCCCAGCTCTTATCGGCTAAAGTCCAACTGAAGCTCCAGACGTGGAAGGGAGTGGGGGGCCAAACTCCACCCCTTCCACCTCCCAGAGCAACGGTCACCCATAGGAGCTATGTCTCAAATGGGTGCTAGGTTCAGGGCTCCAGCTTTCCATTTAAGTAGCTGCATTTTTCACTCAGGCCAAAGTGTTCTTCAATCTCCCCAACCCCAAAGAGAACCCTGCAGTTGATCCTAACTTCTTATCCTGCACTGAGAATAATGACTAATCATCCAATCTTCTAGCCACCTGGTCTAGACAGGAAGTGCCTTCCAACTCTAGTTCTGTCCGCCTCTGAGGCAACAGGTACAGCAACATGGCAACCGAGTATGTTCTCAGATGCTGTGATGAGCAGAACAGAAGCTGTAACCACCCCTGTCTTAAGGGAGAAGTGGGGGGCACATGCTGATAGGGTGGTGTGGGGTCCAGCTGCAAGCTGGCGCGTGGCCATGCCTAGGAAATCTCTCTCTTGGCCATGGGAGCAGAGGAGACGGCACGGTGTAAGCTAGGGGAGGAACGCAGGATAAAGACACCACCGGCAGTAGCCCAAGGCAGGTTAGCTGGCCAGGTCAGACTCACAGGGTTAGTGAGTCTCTCCTGGTTAGTGTGGGCAGTGACAGATGCATGGCAGACGCACTCCAGGTACTCCGCATAAACAGACAGCTGGGTTTGTGAGCAGCCCCACTCCAGAGCTGCAGAGAGAAAGAAGAACGCCAACCTGCAGGATTCCTGGGGGCGTACTGTGCTCTCCTTACAAGGGAAGCACCTCCAGACTGACCCCTAGACCCTCATCACCTCTTCCCACCCGGAAATCAAGCCAGGTGGATGTGGAGCACACTCCTGCCAACAGTGAGTCAAACTCACTGACCCCAGAACAAGGGGTCAACAAAGCTCTCTGGCTGGTGAACAGAAAGGCCAGCTGCTGTGGAAGGGGGCATAGCTCCCGTCTCGCCTATTCCCCAAACACTGCTGCCAGGCTGCACCAGGGCTCTGAAAGCTGAGTTGTGAGAACAAAGCCAGCCCCCAGCTGCAGCTGCCCCCATCCTGTGCCCGTGCCAGCAGAGTCCATCCCAGCAACCCCACAGCTCCACAGATGGAAGGGGCTGGGAGACAACCAGCCTGGGATCAGGGCCTTTGACAAGAGCTGCGTCAGAAAGTCCAGTACAATGGGCCAGTGTGTGACCTGGTCCAGTCAGGGTGAGAGGTGGCACACTGCCACCTTACAGTTTCTGAAAGGGCCAGGGGCATGACAGTTTCCACGGAGCCAGCCCCAGAAGAACATGCCAAGGGAGGACAAAGGCTATAGCCAGGCTCCCCAAACCCCTGCAGAGACTACTGCCCACGAAGGCTAGTTTTCCCATCAGCACAAGCAGAAGCAACTCTTTCCAGAAGCCTCCAGAACCACCCTGGGAGAGGGGACACATCCTGGCTTACAGATGGCAAATGTGTTCACAGCAGTGGAGTCCTGGTGACCCCACAAGCTGTGTGCCCTGCGGCAGCAGGACAGGCAACCTAGAACACACACATCTGCAAACACTGCTGATGGCAAGATGTTGGCAGGAAGAAGATAGGACAGGGGTCTCCCTCCTGTTCTGGGAAGCTCTGCAGGCTCTGTGATGACTTGGAGCAGAAAAGGGAGAATTTTCACCACACTGCCCATGTGGGTCTAGCCCTCCTCCCACGTCTCAGGTCAAGATTAATACAGAGAGGAGATGCCTCCAATAGCTTCCCAACTGCCTACACATCCATCTGGCTCCCCATATTGCTCTGACCCAGAGCAAAACCAAGGCTAACATCTGACCATGGAGAAGACACAACTGTCCAGGAGAGAAAGATGAAAACTTTCTGTAGACCCCGTCTCTTCCCTACACTGATCTGATGCCTGGCCCCTACAGGTGACCTTCAGAATCCCCACTCACAGGGAAACTCCAAAGACACCAGCTGGAGCTGGTTTGCTTTCAAAAGGTAGAACAGCAAGTGACCTGGATAATTCAAGGTTTCAGAAATCAGGGACTCTTGGTGCACTAAAATAGGAGTTAGGAAATGAGGTCATTTTTCTCTTTTCTCAGCCAACAGTAAAAGGAGGGGGAAGCACACACGAGATGAGAAAGCTGATGCCCTGACACCCACCCTGATTCCCATGCCTGCCAGTTTCATCTCAGAATCAAAAGCAGCGCCTCAGGACGGCCAGGGTGCCTGCTGGAGAGACCTTTGGAAAAGCTTCTGCAGCAGCCCTCCCAGGCAGCCAAGCCCGGGACAGCCCACCACGCTGGGCACCGCCCCAGGGTTCCCACAAGCACCGCTCAATTCCCGGTTACCTGTTCAGCGCACAGAGCAAGCCGAACACTGTGCATTCGTATCAAGGAAGGGGCTTTTTAAAAGTGATACATTTTGGGGGCCAGTGTTGTAGCACAGTGGGTAAAGCCCCACCCGCAATGTCAGCATCCCATGTGAGCACTGGTTCCAGTCTCAGCTGCTCCACTTCCAATCCAGCTCCCTGCTAATGGCCTGGGAAAGCACTGAAAGATGGCAGAAATACTTGGGCACCTGCACCCACCTGGGAGACCCAGATGAAGCTCCTGAATTCAGCCTGGCCAACCCCCAGCTACTGCAGCCTTTAGGGAGTAAACCAACAGATAGAAGCGCGCGCGCACACACGTGTTCTCTCTCTCTCTGTAACCTTGCTTTTCAAATAAATAAATCTTTAGAAAAAAAGTGATACATGCTGAGGAATGTCTACAGGTACACAAAAATGATGAGCTACTGATAAATGCTGAAGTACTCAGAGCGTGTGGGTCTAGGCAGACATAATGGGAGACAGCCCCTCCCTCAGGGGCTGGTGCAAAGCTCCCTGCCCTTTACAGACTCTGTCACCTCACACACTTACAAGGTGGTGACTAACGGAGGGGCAGTCTGGCGCAGTGCCACCTGGGACACCTTCCTCCCACCACAGAGTGCCTGGTGTCAGCCTCAATGCCTTTGTTGCTGATACACCTTCCTACTAATGTGCACTATGGGAGGCAGCAGGTGACAGCTCAAGTAGTTGGGTCTCCACCACCCACTTGGGAGACCTGGTTAGAGTTCCTAGCAGACACTGGAGAAGTAAACCAGCAGATGGAATATGTTTCCCTCCATGCCATTCAAATAAAAATAAAATTTTAATGTATTTTTTGAAAGTCAGAGTTACAGAGAGGGTAAGAGACAGAGATGGAGAAATCTTCCATCAGCTGGTTTATTCTCCAGATGACTGCAATGGTTGGTACTAGGCCAGGCTGAAGCCAGGAGCTTCATCCGGGTCTTGGCAGAGGTCCAAACACTTGAGCCATCTTCTGCTGTTTTTCCCAGGCTATTAGTTGGGAGCTGGATCTGGAGTGGAGCAGTCAGGAAGCAAACCAGCACCCATGTGGGATGGCAGTGTTGCAGGCAAAGGCTTTCCCTGCTATGCCACAATGCCAGCCCCAGAAAATAAATTTTTAAAAAGGCAATAACTGGGGCTGGGACTGGGGCTGTGGCATAGTAGGTTAAGCCTCTGCCTGTGGCACTGGTTCAAGTCCTGGCTGCTCCACTTCTGATTCAGCTCTCTACCATGGCCTGGGAAAGCAGTACAAAATGGCCCTAAGTCCTTGGGCCCCTGCACTGGTGTGGGAAACCCGGAGGAAGCTCCTGGCTCCTGGCTTCGGATTGGGACAGCTCCAGCCATTGTAGCCATTTGAGGAATTAACCAGTGAATAGAAGACCTCTCTCTGTCTCTCCTTCTCTCTCTGAAACTCTACCTCTCAATATATTTTTTTAAAAAAATAAAAAGGACAGTAACTAACAAAGAAGCCCCACCCTTCAATTCATGGCCAGACCAGGCCAAAAAGCACTGCGTGCTCCCACATCAAGGGGCAAGGGTGGATCCCAGGGAAAAAAACACCTTCACTCCCCTTTCAGCTATTGGTTTCATCCTTTTCATTCATTTGGGCATTAACAGGCTGTAGCAAACCCTGGCTGTGAGCACAGAGCACACCTAGATGGGACTAGTGATCCAACCAGAAAAGCAGGCAGGTCCAAGCCAGCACCAAGAGCTTAAAGATCAGCAACAAGGACGCCCAGTAGCCAAAGACTTATTAACAGATGCCAATTATGCAAGTACAGATCCTAACCACTGTGTACCTCATCTCTTCTTTTAACTCTTTCCTGCTGGTCTAGGGATGTGTTATTACAATATTTAAAAGGCTAAAAAGGGAGAGCGCTGAAGCCAAGCACCTGGAAGATCACTTAGCCACATGCAACCCTGGAAAAGAATTAGTAATGCTCTTGTCAACGCTGTCACCTACTGTTCATGCAGAACCTTCCTTCCTAAGGACGCAGAGGTTTTGCCAGATACAGCCCATCTGCTTTCATCTCGGAAGAAGGACTGGGCTGGGTCACGTAGTACCCAGGATTGCTCAGCACTTCCCACGGAGGGCCTAACCGCTCAGCCTGCAGTAAAGACCTCCCCTGCCAGAAGCTTCAGGGACAGGAGATCTTACACAGCCACTTACACTACAGTGTGCTGAGTGCTCTGAGGGCACAGAAAGGCAAGACTGGAGAAGGCCAGCACACTGCGATCCATCTGTTAGGACGCGCCAAGATGGGCAACAGCACCGACAATCTTATGCTGCATGGGTTGCTCACTGATGATGCTTACAGTCTTTTTTTTTTTTTTAGTATTTTTTAAAGATTTATTTATTTATTTATTTGAAAGGCAGAGTTACACAGAGAGAGAAGAGGCAGAGAAAGAGGCAGAGCAGAGAGAGAGGTCTTCCATCCGATGGTTCACTCCCTAACTGGCCACATAGCCAGAGCTGCGCCGATCTGAGGCCAGGAGCCAGGACCTTCTTCCAGGTCTCCCATGTGGGTGCAGGGGCCCAAGGACTTGGCCCATCTTCAACTGCTTTCCCAGGCCACAGCAGAAAGCTGGATCAGAAGAGCAGCAGCCGGGACTAGATCTGGCGCCCATATGGGATGTCGACGCTTCCGGCCAGGGTGTTAACCCACTGCGCCATAGCGCTGGGTTGATGCTTGCAGTCTTTTCTTTGTATCGCTTCAAAATAAAAAAGGAGACTCTCAATTTTACCCCCACCTCAAAAATGCTCCTGGCTGCAGGTGTTTAGTCTAGAAGTTAAGATGCCCGTGTCCCACATCCAAGTACCTCATTTCCATTCAGTGCTCCAGACCCTGACACCAGCCTCCCACCAATGCAAACCTTGGGAGGCAGTGGTGATGAATTCCGCTACCCACATGGGAGACAGACTCTTGGCTCCAGGCCTGGTCCAGCCCCAGGCATTGCAGGCATTTGGGGAGTGAACCAGTGAACAGGCCAATCTCTGTCTGTTGGTCTCTCTCTCAAATAAACAAAAATTTTTAAAATGCACTTGGCTCTGGGCAGAAATCAAAAGGCTTACTCTAGCTTGAATAAAACAGAGCCTTTTTTTATCCAGAGAATTTTCCAACGTGAGGTTCATTCATTCAACAAATGTCTCCTGAGGGTCTTTCATATGGCAGGGTCATTATCCCTCTTACTCAATACTCCTGCAGGAGCGATGTCCCATCATTTCATACAGGACAAGACTAAGGATTCCACTGGTTAAGAAACTTGCCCACTGTCGCACAGCTGGTAAATGGCAAGAGTCCCACATTTACACTAGGTCTGCCTGGCTCCACAATTAGACTCTCACACTGCTAACCCCCCCACCTCCATGACTGGGGAGGGTCCTTCCTCTACACAAGGTCAGTTCCGTGACAGAGACAAATAAACAGAACTCATCGTCCAACATGCCAACTGCCAGAATAGAGGTTCAAAGAACTAAGGGGAAGGAAGGCAGAGAAGGAAAGGAAAGCAGAGATGCCTTCTCGCTGCAGGGGACAGAGGAGCTGGGTCTCACAGATGAGCAACTTCAGAGACAGAGTGGGCATTATGGCGTAGGTGAAATGCACAAAGAATAAAGTAAACGAATGCCCACACCAGGCTGGGGAGCAGAGGGAAATTCAGGGGCCACGAAGCACAGGACAGACAAGCACTGGCAGCAACTCAAGCTAAAGGTTGGGTCTGGACCAGAGGAGCAAGCGCCCTTTTGTCTGCCAAGCTAGAATGTGTGGACATTAACTTAAATAAGAACCCATGGCATATTGTAAGGGAAGAGTTTATAAAAGCAAGATCAGGGTGTTGTCTTATTAATATAGTATTTGTCTTCCCTAGGCTGGCCAAGGAGAAAAGGAAGATACAACACATATGAGTCACGGGAGAAAGAACTACTGGAAGTGGAGATGGCTCCTTCACATGGCAAATGGGAGGAGAAAGGCCACCATCAGGCAAAAGAGCCCATGGTCTACAAGAGGGCAAAGCCCAGAATAGCAGAGAAGAGTTGTTGTCTCAGAAAAAGGCTCCTGGCATAAAAACTATGCAGCTCCCAAACCCCTAGCAGCCACCCCAACTTGGCGTTTAGAAGAGCTGGGGGCGGGGCGGGGGCGGGGCCAGTGTCGGGGCGGGGAGCGGGGCCAGCATCGGGTGCGGGGCCGGGGCCGGGCTGGCGGTTGGCTCAGGCGAGGCCCTGCGTGCTTCTTGTCGGCGTTGGCCACAAAAATAATTTTGACAGCAACATGGACAATAGACTGGAGTGGGTAGAGACTAGGTACCACATTTTATTCATTCTACATGCACCGCTGCATTATAAAGCCCTTATTATGCACCTACCACCATCCTTAATGCTGGAAATACGAAAGTGTGTAAGATACAGTCTCTGGGGGCCAGCACTGCAGCATTGTGAGTAAAGTCGCCGCCTGTGGTGTCAGCATCCCATTTGGGTGCCAGTTTGAGTCCTGGCTGCTCTACTTCTGATCCAGCTCCCTGCTAATACACCTGGGAAAGCAGCAGAGGAAGATGGCCCAAGTGCTTGGACCCCTGAACCCACTTGGGAGACTGGAAAAAAGTTCCTGGCTCCTGGCTTCAGCCTGGCCCAGCCCCGGCCATTGTGGCTGTTTGGGGAATGAAGCAGGAGATGGAGGATCTCGAGCTCTCTCGCTCTCTCTCTCCTTCTCCCTCTCCCTCTCCCTTTCTTGGTAACTCCGCTTTTCAAATAAATAAATAAATCTAAAGAAAAAGAAACAAGATATAGTCCCCATATTCAGGGCATCTGGAGTCCTGTGAAAGTTAAATAGGGAATTACAGAGGCTGGGGCTGTGGCGTAGTGGGTAAAGCCTCCACCTGCAGTACCGGAATCCCATATGGGCACCAGTTCAAATCCCAGCTGCTCCACTTCCAATTGAGCTCTCTGCTAATGCACCTGGGAAAGCAGATGACCCAAGTGTTTGGGCCCCTGCACCCATGTGGGAGACCTGGGAGAAGCTCCTGGCTTCAGATCAGCCCAGCTCCAGCCACTGCAGCCATTTGGGGAGTGAACTAGTGGATGGAAAATCTGCCTTTCAAATAAATTTTTAAAACCTTAAAAAAAAAAAAAAAAGAAAAGAAAACGAAGTGGAGCAGCCAGGTATTCCACTGGCACTCATATGGGATTGTGAGCAGCGGCTTAATCTGCTGTGTCAGACTGCCCACCTGAGGAAGCAAAGATTCCCAGGGCAAAGGAGCAGCAAGTGCAAAGGTGCTAACGCGAGAGCTTACTCTGGTGTTCAAATAAAGGGAAGGAGGCCAGCGCAGAGGAGCTGGAGCACGAAGTGAGGGGAAGGTAGGACACGAGGTCAGAGGCCTAGAGACTGATCACGTTCATAGAATTAAAGAAATCCTGGGGCCAGTGTTGTAGCGTACCAGGTAAAGCTGTCACCTGCAATGCCGGTATCCTGCATGGGTGCTGATCTGAGTCCCGGCTGCTCCACTTCCAATCCAGCTCCTGTTAGTGGCCTAAGAAAAGCAGTGGAAGATGGCCCAAGTGTTTGGGCCCCTGTCACCTACACGGGAGACCTGAGTGAAGCTCTTGGCTTTGGCCCAGCCATGCCCTGGCCACTGTGGCCATCTGGGGAGTAAACCAGAGGATGGAAGATCTCTCTCTCTCCATAACTCTTTCAAGATGAATAAATGTTTTAAGATTTATTTATTTACTTGAAAGGCAGAGTTACCGAAAGGCAGAAAGAGAGAGAGGATTCTTCCATCACTGGTTCACTCCTCAATGGCTGCAACAACCAGAGCTGGGCCAACCTGAAGCCAGGAGCCAGAAGCTTCTTCCAGGTCTCCCATGTGAGTGCAGGGGTCCAAGCATTTGGGCCATCTTCTACTGCTTTCCCAGGCCATAGCAGAGAGCTGGATCGGGTTCAGTTTAACCAGACATCCTTGGCACTCATAATATGATGGCGAGAAGGGAATGGATTCAAAGATAATACCTAAAAGGGGGCCTTCAGAGAAGACACTGACATATACAACAATAAAAACAAAATGGTAAAGGGCAAGGAGAATTGGCTCAAACTCCATCAGCCTTCCACTGGCGATTCAATCCTCTGCTCAAGGGTGACCTGAGGGGCTGGCGCTGTGGCGTAGTAGGCTAAACCTCTCCCTACGGAGCCAGCATCCTGTATGGGCACCAGCTTGAGTCCCAGCTGCTCCACTTCCGATCCAGCTCCACTGCCTGGAAAAGCAGTGGAAGATGGCCCAAGTGTTTGGGCCTCTGCACCTGCACCAAAGACCTGGAAAAAGCCCCCGGCTCCTGACTTCGGATCAGCCCATATCTGGCTGTTGCAGCCATTTGGAGAGTGAACCAGTGGACAGAGACCTCTCTCTCTGTCTCTCCCTGTCTGTCTGTAACTCTGCCTCTCAAATAAATTAATAAAAAAAATAAAAAAAAAAAAGTGTGACTCAAATCCAGAAAGTCTGAGCATCTATACTGAAACACAAAGGTGTGCTCTACAGAGACAACACGCTTCAGCACGCTGACTGCAGCACAAATCAAGATCAAGTACAAGACATGGTCCTGAGTTAGCAGAGGAAGACAGGCACAAGACAGATACTGTTCACCTCTCAAAATCACAGCAGCCAGCACACATAGCGAAGTTCAGCACAGGGCTGGGCCAGAGCTCCATGCAAAGTCCAAAGCCCCTGCCCCCAGGTCCCCTGAAATCTGGTTAGACACCGGGCGCGTGCCTCCTCTGAAGGCAGAATGGAGAGTCACTTACTGAGTAAAAAGATGGGCCCTGCGGGCGTGTTAAATAGACAGGACGTGACTCAGAAGCAGGAGAAGAGTGAGTCTTAAATACAGGGCAAAGGAAAACCAGTCAATCAAACCCTGGGCACACCTCTGCCCCAGGCTGCACAGGGCCTCCCTCACACAGCACAGGCGGCAACAGCAGCACACCGCTTTTCCATTTCCCCACGCTGAGAGCAGGGAGCTGTTTAATTTGCCATATTTTTTTTTCTGTTTGCTACTTGCTATTTTTAAAAGATAACATCAACTGGCCGGCGCCGCGGCTCACTAGGCTAATCCTCCGCCTTGTGGCGCCGGCACACCGGGTTCTAGTCCTGGTCGGGGCGCCAGAGTCTGTCCCGGTTGCCCCTCTTCCAGGCCAGCTCTCTGCTGTGGCCAGGGAGTACAGTAGAGGATGGCCCAAGTGCTTGGGCCCTGCACCCCATGGGAGACCAGGAGAAGCACCTGGCTCCTGCCATGAGATCAGCGCAGTGCGCCGGCCCGCAGCACACTGGCCGCGGTGGCCATTAGAGAGTGAACCAACAGCAAAGGAAGACCCTTTCTCTCTGTCTCTCTCTCTCTCTCACTGTCCACTCTGTCAAAAAAAAATTAATTAATTAATTAATTAAAAGATAACATCAACTGTCTATGAATCTTAATACTATAGTTATTTCAACCGCTCATTGTCAGTAGTCAGAAATGAGCTATACTTTGATACCTATGTTCACACACACACAAACACACGTGCACGTGCACAGCTTAAAGATACACTTAAAGAGCATCCCAGGCGGCCGGCGCCGCGGCTCACTAGGCTAATCCTCCACCTAGCGGCGCCGGCACACCGGGTTCTAGTCCCGGTCGGGGTGCCGGATTCTGTCCCGGTTGCCCCTCTTCCAGGCCAGCTCTCTGCTGTGGCCCGGGAGTGCAGTGGAGGATGGCCCAGGTGCTTGGGCCCTGCACCCCATGGGAGACCAGGAAAAGCACCTGGCTCCTGGCTCCTGCCATTGGATCAGTGCGGTGCGCCGGCCACGGCAGCCATTGGAGAGTGAACCAACGGCAAGGGAAGACCTTTCTCTCTGTCTCTCTCTCTCTCACTGTCTACTCTGCCTGTAAAAAAAAAAAAAAAAAAAGTGCAAAAAAAAAAAAAAAAAGAGCATCCCAGGGCCGGCACTGGGACACAGTGGGTTAAAGCCCCAGCCTGCAGCACCAGCATCCCATGTGGGTGCTGGTTGCAGTCCTGGCTGCTCCGCTTCTGATCCAGCTCTCTGCTGTGGTCTGGGAAGGGAGCAGAGGATGGCCCAAGTGCTTGCAGCCCCTGCACCCGTGTGAGAGACCAGGAAGAAAGCTCCTGGCTCAGCCTGGCCCAACCCTGATCACTGCGGCCATTTGGGGAGTGAACCAGCGGATGGAAGACCTCTGTCTCTGTTTCTACCTCTCTTGGTAACAAACATAAAAAGAAAAAAAACAAAACAAACAAACAAACAAAAAAAAACAGTGCATCCCAAGCCAAGCCCCAAGGTTTTCTAAAGGTGAATCATGAAGACAGAACTTTGGGTAACATGGCACAGTGGACTCCCTCACAATTCCTGTGCCAGTTTTTATTATTATTTGAGGGGCAGAGACATAGAAAGAGACGGACAGAGCTCTCATGTACTGGTTCACTCCCCCAAATGCCCACAACAGCCAGGACTGGGCCAGGACCACATTCAGGAGCCAGGGGTGGTGGGAACCCAGTCACTCAAGCCATCACTGCTGCCTCCCAGAATGTGCATCGGTGGGAGGCTGCAGTGAGCAGCTGGGAATTAAACCCAGGCACTGTGATGTGGGACACGGTCTAAACCACCAAGCTAAATGCCCGCTACCACCAGCTACTATTTCCAAGAGGAAGGGGGCTATGATGAAGAGCCCAGCCCTTAAAAAACTGCTTGAATAACCAAAAACTGTTGACTACAGAACGCGTTTACATATAACCGTCCTCACAAACAAACATGAACCAGGATATAGTTAAATAAATAAGAGATATAAATTGCTGCTAGGTATATGTAAAAGTTAACTTCATACCAATCCCCACCTCCCATCCCCGGAAGCCAGACCAAGTAGGCTGAAACTCCAGTTCTGCCACTTCCTAAGGAGGGGGGTGACCTTGAGCAGATTACTCAGCCTTTCTGTGCCTCCGTTTTCCCATCTGAAAACTAGGGCAGCACTATCTATCTACTCCACCTGGTTGTGAGGAAAGTTCATTAACAAGCGAAGCACCAACAATAGTGCCAGATACACAGAATGTGCTCAGTAAGCACCGGCCTCCTCCTCCTCACCACTCAACTGCACAGAACAGAATTCTACAGCCTAAGGCTCCAAGCAGAAGGTCACTGTCATTTCAACGTGACTTTACAGAGCTTAATGAGGATATTCACACTAACCTGTAAAATCTCTACAAACCAGAAGTTGTGCGTCATTTCTCTAGCATCAGGCCAGCAGCCCAAATCAGTGCAGATCCTCCACAAAGAGACAGTGGGTCCAACTGTGAAGCAGAAATTAGGGCCTGATGACCAATAGGTCAGGCATGTAGCTGAGTACATTAGTGTATTAACTAATCTAATCCTCACAATGACCCTACGTAGCTCTCACCACCCCCACTGGTCAATGAGAGAGCCGAGGCACCCAGAGCAATGCACTTAACAAAGGTCACAGGACTACGAACGGCAGCATCTGAACAGGGCAGCTTGGCTCGGAGTCCGGGCTCCAACTCCTGGCGATGTGCACCCACCACACGGCCCTAGCTGATTCCCATTTCCAAGGAGGCATTCACAAATAGTTCTCAGAAGATTCTCAGCCTTCTAGAACCGCAGTCACAACTATCACCAGTTCTATACTTATTGGAAGTCACTGAAGCTGGCCTCGTCATAGTGACTCTGGGTTCTTCTATCTACAATAAACCTGGTGCAAGGGGGTGTGGCGGGGAGGCAAGGAGCAGGAGACAGAGGGTTCTTCATCAAACCAGACCTCCCAGTCCAACCTTCAGGCAGCTGCTGGCTCTGCAACACACTTCAGTCAAAAGCCTGTGCCCACCTCTGCCCTGGGCACAACTAACCACTGAGCACCGTGTTCACCGCACTCCCGGCTCCAGGTCTCTCCCCTTCTCTCCAGCACCAAGTCCACTTCTCCCACACCATGCTTAGGCCCACGAAACTGACTTTTTTTAAAATGTGGTTTGATAAAGAGAATACAGAGGAAGAAAAGAAAGCTACTAGGAAGGACAAGTCCCACAGTCCTCCCTTCCATCACCTCACAAACCCGGGGCTCAGACAGGGGGCAGGTGGTGACCACCCCAGGGCTTTACCCTGTCAGCGTGGCCTCCTACCGTCAGCTGCCGGGTTTCTTCCCCCTATTTCCAACCTGCCTCTCCCTCACCTGACAGCCCTTCTGCCAATCCCCATCCCCACAGGAACTCGAACAACCAACGCGCTCAGGGGATAGGCTGCAGAATGAATTCAGGAGTTGGTCACCGTAGATACCTAAATGGTCCGTGAACACCCCCGGAAATGTTCTCCCCCGACTCCCCGCCATCTGCTTCACCCTAAACTCCGCTTCCAGGCCGGATGTCAAACGCAAAGGTGATGGGGAACATGTAAGAAACTGCTTGTGACGGCGATGTGTTCAAATACTTTCAGCCTGATCTCTAGGCCCCTGCCTAGGTGTGCTTGTCCAGGGACGGCACACAGGCTCAATCCTAGGCCACCTCGCGAAAGGCCTTGCCATCTAAGCAAAACGTCCACTTAGCATCGCCACGCGAGGACCTCCACGGACGTGCACCCTTCTCGCGTTAAACGATTCTGAGCATAACTCCGAGCCCATGGCTCCTGCTCCCCGGGAGGATGCCAGCCAGAAACTTGTCACTGGAGGCCACCTTACCCGCTCTGGGGTTGGGCTGGGGCAAGTCGCTACCTCTTCTTCTTTCCAAGCAGGCACTGTGATTTCTTCCAGTCCCTGGGGCCCCTGAGTCTTCAGTGAAATGGGGGCAGATGCTGCTATGGGCGCTGTGGCAAGGCTGAGCTCAGCCTGGAAGAGGGGCATTGGACTGGCTTTAGTTCCCGCGTTGGCAGACTTGCCCAGCGGCTCCACACCGCCACTCCCTTCCGCGCTATCCCCCTCTTATGAGAAAGCTCCCTTTTCCCTCCCACCAGCCTGGCTCCTACGGTCCGGCCTCGGTCCCACGCTCCAGGCTTCCTTTACTCTCGGTCACGAAATTTTCCTCCAGCTCGTGACTCTCCTCCAGAGCCGGCAACTCCTGTGTCTAGCGCTCTCCCGCCCCAACCCCCTTCCCTAGGACACCACTGGCTCCTAGGCCCCCTCCGCCCCTAGCTCCCGGTATCTCTCCGCCTCCGGTCTTCCTCCTCTCCGTTTTCTCCTCTCAGCCCAGCAGCTAGTCCCTCCTCCGCCTCTACTCCTCGCTAGGATCCCCGCGACACCCCCTCTAACTCCAGCCGCCCGACCCGACTACTCCAATCCCACAACAAACTTTCCGCCGCTGCCCGCTGCCTTCAGGCCGCCATCTTGCCGCGGGGCAGGCCGGGTAGTGGCCAGGGCCGCGGGAATCCCCACGCACTAGACGCCGCGCGTCATCGGGGGCGGGGCCGCGGGGCGGGGCTTCGGCCCGGGCGGTGGCGAAAGATGGGGATCTCCTAAGAGTAGGAATTGGAGGCCTAACCGTAGGAAAGGGAAGATGTGAGGAGCAGGGGCAATAGCGGGAAAGAGGAAACACTCTGACATTAAAAAAAAAAATTGCCAGGGGAACACAGCTCAAAAAATAAAAAAGATAGTGGTGAGTCGTACTGGCTGTCCATCACCCCAGGAATAAAATCAGCTTTCCTGTGATTCTTTAGACATCCTCTTTGCCTGCTGCTCCTGCAGGGCGCTAACTGTCTGGTGCATCTTCCTATTCCCACGTCTAGTGAATAGACAACGTGGCTTCTCCCTAAGCATTCTCCTCAGGCCCTTTCAGCTTGTTGTCCCCTGTGCCAGAATGTTCTTTCCCAAATGTTTACTCTCAGCTATGCCTCTGCTCAAGTGTCACTAACTCAGATAAGCCTTTTCTGGCCATCCGATCTCGGCCTGCATTGCCAGTCACTCTCTCGTACCCTGCTTAATGTTCTTTCTCATAGTACTTACTGTTCTCCAACATTCCAGTAAATATTAGTTTATTAACTATCTCCCCCTCTACAGTGCACACTCCAGGTATTCAGGACCTTTTCTCATTCATCGCTGTATTTCCAGTGTCTGAAATAATGCCTGCATAGGTATTCAATAACTATTCATTGCATGACAAATGGCATAGAGGTGAGTGATCGACAGATTTTGGAATACAGCAGTAGGGGGCAGTCGTTGAAAATACTATAAAATAAGAAAATACAGGCTCCCAAGGCCCACTGGGCCCTAGCAGGAATGATGGCAAACTCAGGGCTCAGGCCCAGCAAAGGAATCAGTGAGAGGAGAGCCAGGTGGAATTCTGGAAGTGGGGAGGACTGGAAGACAAGGAGTTTACGCTGACCTAATGACAACATCCACCCCAGCCCAGGCCTCTCTTGGCCAGATGGTTCCGGAGGAGGCTTTGCATCTGTCCCTCCATAAATTATCCAGGACTCCCTCTTGCCTGTCCTCTCTGGTGACAGCCGGAACAATTGTCCAGGAATTCCATCTGCTCCCCTTGTCCCTCTCCCCTCCGCAGCTCATCAACATTTTAGAGCAGAGAGGTATCCCATTTCCCTAGGCCCAGGGATAGGAGCTGGGTCTGCTGTTGGGGGAGCAGGTCTCAAGCACCTGCCCCTCATCAACACACACAAATAAAGCCTCAGCAGAGGTTCCCAGATCCCCAGAGAGTGGGGTCAGCCATTTTGATTTCCCATCCCAGCCAGGTTTTTCTGTCCATGCATCTTTTAAAAAATTAATTCAATAAATTACACTAAATAAATCAATCATGCAGGTTCTTGTAGAGTCTGAAATAAAGAGTTCCAAGAATTATACATCTCCACATGGTTGCCCTTGAACTGTCCCTTCATCACTTTCAAAACATAACATTTGTTGTGATCAAAGACTACAAATTCAGATTTTTTTGGTTGCAAGTGACATTATCTACTGATAGTCTGAAGCCAGGAGGCTGCCCCTATTTTCTTTTTAAGATTTTAAACTTATTCTGAAAGGCAGAGTTACAAAAAGAGAGAGCGAAACAGAGAGATATCTTTCATCTACTCTTTCACTCTGCAGATGGCCACAATGGCCAAAGCTGAGACAGACCGAAGCTAGGAACCAGGAGCTTCATCCAGGCCTCCTGTGTGGATGCAGGGGCCCAAACACTTGGGCCATCTTCCACTGCCTTCCCAGGCGCACTAGCAGAGAGCTGAATCAGAAGTGGAGCGGCCGGGACAGGAATTGGCACCCATATGGGATACCTGTACCGCAGGTGATGGCTTTACCCACTACACCATAATGCCAGCCCCTACCCATATTCTTTTTTGTGACCTTGATTGGACATTCTGAGTCCTGTATACGTGGTTGTTATGATGATAATTCCAAAATTCCAAGAGATTATAACTTAGTCTACTTCCCTAGATCTAAATTCTACACATTTCCTAGGTTTGCTTGTCCAGGGAGAGCACACAGGCTCAATCCTAGGCCACCTTGCAAAAGGCCTTGCCATCTAAGCAAAACATCCACCTAGCATCACCACGCGAGGACCTCCATGGACATGCACCCTTTGATTAATAGAGGGATGGGGCCGGCACTATGGCACAGCGGGTTAAAGCCCCAGCCTGCAGTGCCAGCATCCCATGTGGGCACAGGTTCGAATCCTGGCTGCTCCACTTCCTATCCAGCTCTCTGCTATGGCCTGGGAAAGCAGTGGAAGATGGCCCACGTCCTTGGGCTCCTGCAACCACATAGGAGACACAGAAGTTCCTGTCTCCTGGCTTTGGATTGGCGCAGCTCTGGCTGTTGCGATCATTTGGGGATTGAACCAGGGGCATGGGAGACCTCTCACTCTCTCTCTCTCTCTCTCTCTCTCTCTACCTCTTTTTGTAACTCTGCCTTTCAAATAAATAAAATAATTCTAAAAAAAAATACAGGGTCACAGTTGCTACCCAAGTAGATAAGCTTTTATTATACATAACATCTTTTCCCTAACTTGAACTACTAATTTTTAAAAAGATTTATTTATTTATTTATTTATTTATTTATTTGAAAGATGGATTTGGGGGGGTGGACACAGAGAGAGCTCATCCATGTGCTACTAAACTCTCCAAATGGCCACCACAGCCAGCAGGCCAAAGCCAAGAGCCAGAAAATTCATCTGGATCTCCTACATGGATAACAGGGGCCCAAGCACTTGGGCCATCTTCCACTGCTTTCCCAGGTGCGTTTGCAGGGAGCTGGATCAGAAGTGGAGCAGCCAGGACTCCAACTGGCACTCATATGGGATGCCAGCATCTCAAGCGGTGGCTTAACACACTGCGCCTCACACAGGCCCAGAGACGTTAAATTTGATAGAAGCCTAGGAAATATAATTTTGAAGACCTTGAAACTTGGTAGGATCTTGCATTCTTCCATAATCTTAGAACCATTTAACTCTTAAAAGATACTTAATAAGAGGCCGGCACTGTGGCACAGTAGGTTAATCCTTTGCCTGCAGCGCCAGCATCCTATATGGGTACTGGTTCTAGTCCTGGCTGCTCCTCTTCCAGTCCAGCTCTCTGCTGTGGCCTGGGAAAGCAGTAGAAGATGGCCCAAGTCCTTGGGCCCCTGCACAGTGTAAGAGACCCAGAGGAAGCTCCTGGCTCCTGGCTTCAGATTGGCGCAGCTCCAGCCATTGTGGCCATTTGGGGAGTGAACCAACAGACTTTTCTCTCTGTCTCTCCCTCTCACTGTCTGTAACTGTAACTCTCAAATAAAATAAAAATAAAATCTTTTTTAAAAAGTTTCTTAATAAAAGGCAGGAACTCAAATAAATAATTGTTCATAATAACATTATTTTACAATAGTCAAAAATTAAGAAAGAGCACAATGTCCATCTGTGGGTGAGTAAATGAACAAAACATGGTATACGCATAAGAGAATACTTCAGGGGGCCGGCACTGTGCTATAGTGGGTAAAGCCGCTGCCTGCAGTGCCGGCATCCTATATGGGCACTGGTTCAAGTCCTGGCTGCTCCACTTTCGATCCAGCTCTCTACTATGGCCTGGGAAAGCAGTGGAAAATGGTGGAAGTCCCCTGCCCCTACCTGGGAGACCCGGAAGAAACTCCTGGCTCCTGGCTCTGGATCAGCACAGCTCTGGCCATTGCAGCTAATTGGGGAGTGAACCAGAGGATGGAAGACCTCTATCTCTCTCTTTGCCTCTCCTTCTCTCTCTGTGTAACTCTATCAAATAAAATAAATAAATCTTTTTTTTTTTTAAAGAGGCTACTTCAGAAACTTTGTGGAAATGCATATTATGAAAAAACAATTCATGGATCTCCAGGCTTTTCTGCACCAAAATAAGTTAATTTTTTTATTTTAAAGATTTTTATGTATTTATTTGAGAGTCAGAGTTACAGACAGAGAGAGAGAGTCAGGGAGAAAGGTCTTCCATCCACTGGTTCACTCCCTAAATAGCCGAAAAGGCCGGAGCCAGGCCAATTCAAAGCCAGGAGCCAGGAGCTTCTTCCAGGTCTCCCACACAGGTGCAGGGGCCCAAGGACTTGGGCCATCTTCTGCTGCCTCCCCAGGCCACAGCAGAGAGCTGGATCAGAAGAGGAGCAGCCGGGATTCGAACCGGCGCACAGATAGGAGGCAGCACCGCAAGCAGAGGCTGAATCTACTGCACCCCGGCGCCGGCCTCTAAGCTCATCTTTTAATTCCACTTTCCACAAACTTTTTGAAGTACACTTGTACAGTGGAATATCATTCAGCCTTAACAAGGAGGAAAATTCTCTGACACATGCTACAATATGGATGAGTCTCGAGGACAATACGCCAAGTGACAAAAAGACAAATGCTACGTTGACTCCACTTATGTTAGGTGGATAGAGTAGTCCAATATATGGAGACAGAAAATAGAATGGTGGTTGCCTGGGCCTGGGGAGGGGAACGAGGAGTTCATGTTTATTGGATACAGAATTTCAGTTAGGGGTGGAAAAAGTCCTGGAGCTGGCCAGTGATGAACAACGCAAATGAACTTGATGCCACCCAACTGTATGTTCAGAAATTGTTAGGGGGGAGCATTTGGCCTAGCAGTTAAGACACTGGTTGGGATGCCCACATCCCACATCAGAGTGCCTGGACTCCATACCCACCCCTGCTCCCAGTTCTAGCTTCTTGCTAATGTAAACCCTGGGAGACAGCAGGGTAGTTGGGTCCTTGCCATCCCCATGGGAGACCTGGATTGACTTCAGCTCCAATAATAATTGCAGGTGTTTGGAGAGTGAACCAGTAGATAAGAAGGCTCTCTCTCTCTGTGTCTCTGTCTCTCTCTCTCTCTCTCTCTCTCTGTGTAATATATAAATAAAAATTTAAAAATAAGGGTCACCATTGTGGCATAGTAGGTTAAGCCACCCACCTATGACACCAGCATCC